ATAAATGTTTATAATGAAAAGGATGGTAACATTCTAGGTGATCTCTCAAATGTTAGTAGTTACCTCACAAAAACATTAAATACAATTTTCTACAGAATCATAGATGATGACAAAACATTGCCAGTTAGTTGCTTGTTAATAATCTATACCGAAATATATCTGATCTTCCAGAATCAAGTAATAAAGTTCTTGATGAGTATTTAATTAATCAGCTGTTCTGATGGTGAGATATGTGTAAAAAATTGAATGAAAACCTGATAACAACAGATGCTCATGAAATACAACCCAGTAGTAACTCAGTTGATGTACTTTAATTTGGCTGCATATGACAGCTACTTTAATCTTATTAAGCACTTTGGTCAGCCACTGGTTACTTTTAAGTTGTGCTACAATACATAAACTGACTTAACTTGACTGAATTAGCTCTTAAAATACATCCAAAATGTATCCAGTCTCATAACACTGGGATTAAAAATCAGCCTTAGAATTTGAGGTCCCCCACAATAATTTATACAATGTTTTTTGTGCAATCATTCTTGCCAAGCGAAAAATTTTGCCAATTGGGGGGATCCATGGTAACTGGTGCAGGCCTACATACACATCGGCCCTCTGAGAAGATGCCAGACAGCCAGTCCATCCCTGAATTTAATACGTAGCGATCTGCAATGCTTTCCTTATAGATACAGATTATTTATGACATTAATTAATGGATAAACCAATTTAAAAAATGTAATACCTATTAAAGTTTACTTGAAATTATGGGTGTATTTCTGGTATGTGATTTCCAAATACATATATCAAAAAATCATAAGGAGATGTGCGTTACTACAGCCTTTCTGCCTGAATAATAATAAATTTAACAGCAAACAGCATCTGATGACCAGCAACCATTGTCTTCATGTGAAATCTAACCAAGAGCAGCTACTAGTCTGCTCTGGTAGCACTCATGTGTTCGTGGAAGGATTAGTGCTGTTAAGTGGCTGGCTTTGGTTGGCTTTTTTTGCCTGTGAATCTTGGGCTTGTCCATATTTCTGGATGCTGTGACAGTAGCTCTCTGCTCAGAGCAGCATGCCCCACAGCAAGGAAGAAAGCAACGATGGAAAGGGGAGAGAGAGAGAGAGAGAGAGAGAGAGAGAGAGAGAGAGAAAATGACAGGTTGGAATAATGAAAGAGGAGACTTGGGTGGCTGGTTATGGGTTTAGCAAAGATATATTAGCCAACTATAATACAACAATAGTCAGTAACATTTCAAGGACGGAGGTGTGATACCATCCCCCCAGTGCTGTGGTGGGGGCTTTGCTAACTGGGGCATAGGGCAGTAAGGTAGCCAGATGGATGACTCATGCCTTCAAAACATTAGAACCACAGATTTTGCCTGCACCTGTTCATTGGAAATATGTCGCCTAGGCAATGTTAACCAGACATCTACATAAATGCATCCCAGTAACTGTCTAGATGTGCACATCATGCAACCTACCAGCTACCTAACAATATCAGTGAAAGTTAGATTTCAGTTTTAACACAACACTTCTCCGGTATATTTTAATATAAGAATCAGAAAACTGTCTATGATTACAGACTGCACAGTACACAAGCACACAAAAGACAAAACACAGACAATACATAGTCCCACATTCAACAATTTCTGCATAAAAATAAATAAGTGTAATATAGAGATGGTGATGTATTGGTGGGTGAATATGATGATAAGAACAGTAATAATTTTTTTTATTGCCAGTTTCTTATAGCTACCACAACATTTATTAGTATTGTGTTTGATATCCATTTTAAGTTTTCCTGTCATATCTATCTGCTTAAGAGATCTTTCCAAACCCTCCATTCATCCATTTTCTAAAACCGCTCGTCCTATTCAGGGTTGCGAGGCGTCTGGAGCCTGCGGGCAGGAGGCATCTTTCCGAACCAGAAAAATAACTTTAAATCCTTCTCTGTAAATAATCACTACTAAATTCTATGCTCATTGTTAACAGAAAAAAAAACTTTATTTGCTAATATAAAAACTTGAGCTCAAAAGAAAATGTAACAGTAATTGAATTTAAAGCACAAGACAGTGATACTGGTGACACAGTGTGTGTCACTGTGTGAGACATTTGGCTTATAAACATTGTAAGCAAAGTTTCAAGGAGTAAAGATGGACACAACTACAAAATATTCCAGCGAGAGGGACCAAATCAAGGAAACAAAAATAGAATAAAAAAACTACAAAAAAACTGAAAACTGAAGAATACATTAGTGTCATCCTGGAATGAGTCTCGTTGACATAGAAAATTTTAAATATGGAGGGAGGTTAAAAACGTCATCTCAAATTTTAACTCGTACTTATTTCACAAAAATTCAAAGCAGTGAAATACTATCTGCCTTGATGCCAGAATACTAAAACTCCCCAAAAAAACTGCAGATGATGACATGAGTTCTGACCTTCAGAATACATTGCTTCTAAGAATGTGTCACTATTTCAGTGGTGTCTATCTTTCTTTTTGTGTCTGTTTGACAGGAAAGCTGATTCTCTGGAATTTATCTGTCTCCTCTTTGCAGTATTTTAAGCTTGGGAAGCACATGCACCAAAATATGCAGCAAACAAGCTGCAACTATATAGAGAGAGATTTCAGGGAACAGCAAGTCAATTGCAGACTTCATTCTAATAAAGCACCATTGTTTAGAATTCAACATGCGCCAATTACAGGGTACTTTTGGTTTTAAGAAAGTCAGGATGAACCTGATTATCAACTGTATTATCACTGATATGTTATTCTGTGACTTTTTCTAATATTAATATTTTTATATATCATCTTTTAAATCTCGAAATTGGTTTACAAAGGAAAGACAAGAATAAAAAACCTGTGAGAGTTTTTGAGTATTTAAAGCAGCAGATATGCAGTAATATAGCTACACAGGGCAAGTAAAACAAACATAATACAAATATGGGGACTTCAACATAACGCAAAATCAACAGCAGGAGAGAGAAAAGTTGCATTCAGAGAAAAGACTAACAGATTAAATTCCTAAATAATGGTATAGTGACGGGGAAAAATGTTATAGTGACTGGGAAAGCAAGGAACCTTCATCCAGGCTGAATTTAAGCCAAGGATTCATATACATAAGATAGTACTGTCTTGGGCAGTGAAAGAAAATAATGGTAACACATAAGGCCATGTATTTAGTAATTTACAGTTTAAACACATTCAGAAGGTATTATAATGCATTTATAAAGCATTATAAACATGGCTTTAAATATTTATAAAAAAGCATAGCGCATTACAGCCATGTTTATAATGCATTAAAACTGCCTTATGAAGCTCTCATCTATAACGGACTATAAATATCTTCATAATGAAGTAGAAAGCATCCTTAATGCTTTTACCGACCATTATAATGCACTATAAAGGTATCACTAGTGCATTATAGATGAGAGCTTCATAAAGCATTCATAATGCATTATAAACATGGCTGTAATGTGTTATGCCTTTTGAGAAATATTTATAGCCATGTTTATAATGCTTTATGAATGCATCATTATTTGTTATGAAGGTGTTTAAAAATTAATAAACCATGGCCTTAAGTAAAGTTTTACCAAAATAATCTTCTGTCTGTCAATGTCTCTCAAAGTATTTTGCTAAAGTCAGGATTTGCACCCACTATCAAATACACCCATTAACCACTAGAACGCCTACTTTGGCTAATCAACACCTCATTGCGTTATTTACCTAATTGAATTAATTAATTAAATGAGCCGGTGGTGAAATTTAATAAATATGTAGAATGGCTGGTGGTGAAATTTAACAAACACATGGAATGGCTGAGGTGCCCCTGAGGAGAGGTTTGGGAACTGAAGCTGTGTTCATCTTGCCATCCAACTAGATATCAGTGACGTTTTGGAGAACAGGAGAAATTCCTGCTAGTTTTCATTGTATTACTGTTAATTTGCATATGTTCTAATGTTAAATGCGTTTTTTTAGCAAATATACACGTACTACCGAGATAAATAGCCTTAAACATTTTCTGTGACAAGATTTTTGCACAGTATTGTACGAAGTACTGGGGGTCAGGCATTGCAATGGAGAAATTGCCCTTGGTTGGCTGGAATAAAGCAATTCAGCCAAATTTCCAGTATGATTTTCTCTTCATATTGTCCAGGGGGGGCTTTTATCGGCACGTTTTCACTTATGTATTATTTATTTATTTATAACCTCGGAGCTTGAAATCTGAGATGATTTACTTATCGGACACACACACGTACACACACTCCGGGTCCCTTTCCGGTTGCTGGAAGCTATGAGGTTCTGTAGAGCTGGGACCAGCAGCCAGGTGAGCAGGGAGATGTATGATCATCCTAGCAGGACCCCAGGAAGCCGCTGGTAGCCAGATTAAGCTAAGATTAGGGACACTGCACAGACAGCAGCAGAGCCCAAAGAGGCACACAAACCAGCCTGTTAATGTGAGGGACATTTCAGGCACTGACCAAATGGCTGCAAAATCATTTCATCTGACATCCAGTGTGAGCAAATTTATGCTGTTGATTTGTGAATCAGCTGCCGTTGCATAAGGGGGGGTTTATAAAAATTTGGTTCCTTTCATTGTCTTATTCTCAGTTGTTGTCTTGGTGTGTATAGTGGATTGGGGGGGGGGGAGGGGGTGGCATCGCTTTAGATTAAATCCCTGTGACACTAACCAGCCTGGACAGACTGAAGCCCTGTGGAGTGTTGTCACCGTGTCAGGGGCTCTACACCCCTCCCTCTGCTTTTCTCTCCAGCTCCCTCCTTCTCTCTCCCACACTCATCCCGATACACAAAAATACTCTGTACTTTCTGACCCTGAAGAGATTGTGTTTCTGTTCCTTTTTTAACCCCAGCCAGGTTTAAGTGGGTAGCTGTCCACGATTGCTTGATTCCTCTTGTCCCCCCCCCCTTTTCATTTTCCATCCCTTCTCCTCCCTCCCTGCCTACCTCAGCCTCTCTTCAGAGCTAACCCAGTCAGCTGTGAGTCATGTGACCAGTAGCCCCACTCTAACTGAGCATGCCCAAGCCTCTCTGTGTTGTCAGGCAAAAATAAGACAGCAGAAGGAGCAGAGATCTGCAATAGATAAACACACGACACACGGGCACACAGCCGGAGAGCGGTGTGAGAGGCGGACTAACAGAAAGGCAGCGGGGACGTTCTCTGCATTCAGTGCACTCATTTCTTCTATCAGCCGCAATATATTTCTTTGTATTTTTTTGTCTGTGATTTTTGTCTTCTGGAGGAAAGACTTTCCATGGTGAAAGGAGAGGCGATTCGAAAATAAGCAGAAAGAGGGAAGGAAGAAGCAAATCCATGACTGCGTCTCCGTATCCTGAGAAGGTAAGTGTGTAGGCTGATGGGGGTGGCGGTGGGGGGGCATGCACCTCTCAGTGTCTTATTTACATGCGGGAGAAGGGTCAGTGAATGCTTCTCTGTTGGTATGTTGGAGGTAGATATGGGGGCTGGAGGGAGTTAAGGACACGGAAGCACTAATTGGCAAAGACGGGGTGTTTGGGGGAAAACCCTCTGATGAGGTGGAGTAGGGAACAGGTTCTGCGTGGAGGGAAGGTGCAAAAATCAAAAGTACGGAGGGATCATTTCCTGGTAAACGGTGCATTTTATATGCAGATTATGAGGCCCGTAGGTAAGCAGACATGAGGATGGCAGATGAAGGATGGCGGCGAATCAGGGGCTCTGCCATGGATGCTGCGCCGCGGCTCAGAGGCACTGGGAGCTGCACTCGGCAGCCTGACAGGGAACTGCCCCGGGATTCTGGCTGAAACAAAATGGCTCAGTGTGGGAGATCCGAGCAGCCTCGGTGAACCGCACACGGCAAAGAAAAGAGAGAGAGAGGACAGCAGGCAAGGAGAGCGTACAGACAAGCCTCTTATAGCCTCATTTCACATTTAATGACACACATACATGTAATTAATAATTCTGTGCACCACTTCCATAGATGGCTCAGCCAGTGTGATGGGATTATTCTCTTAAAACAATACAGATGCTATTTATTTTGCAACATTCTTGCCATAAAATGCTATTTACATAAAGATTTATTAACAATATCGTTATGGAAATATTTAACCATAAACAAGCATACATATTCAGGACAGGCATCTGTCCTGTGGTTTTGCTCAGATTAAGGTTGAGATCAACTAGTTATGATCACCATTTTGATTATTGTGCCACATAATCCTTTAATCAAAGCGAAACACTTGACGTCATTTCTCCAGTTTACACGGCCTTATATTTTTAATGAAGACATCCAAGTTAACTATGTCCCTCAAGGGTGCAACAGCTTGCACCACCCAGGGACCTGGAACCTTTTGGCCAGGAGGACAATTCCCACTGTGCCGTTAGTGACAAGCAGAAAATGCAGAGGCTTGTGTCTAAGAGTCCATAGAGATCCTGGAAAGGGGATGTGGGTATAGGGAAGCCATCTTCATCATCGTCGTCGTCATCATCATCATTATCATCATCATTATCTCGGATTTATTTTGTCATTTACAGAAGAACTGAAATACAGCATGGCTTTGTGTGAGTCCAGTCCGGGTGGTTCTCTGAAAGAATGCTTGCAAAATGTACTTATGAGAGAAACTCTGTGCTTTACGCACGTAAACAGTCCTCCATTGTTAATTGGCATCTAAGAAGAGGTTTAGACTACAGCAGAGATCCTGCTTTTTCGCCTTTACCAAGGCGGCACCTATTTCGTAAAGGGCTACAGTCGAGTAGGAGGACAATGCCAGGCGTTACACGGGCTTCCAGGGCGGGGGGGTGCGGGGGGGGGTGGGGATAGGGATTTAGGCTTCACTTAAGTCTGAAAGCAGCATCATCGTTTGCAGATGTTAGTTTTCAAGGACCACAGGGCCAGGATGGAGACCTTGGGGTTTGAGAGCAAGGAAAAGCTGTTTTGGTCCTTAATGATTTAAGTTTGATCCTTTTATGTTCAAAAGTTGGGTCGACCCAATGGAAATTCAGTGTAACAATATATCAAAATTAAACATGGAAGATACTGAAAGATCAAAATTAAAAAAATAAACACAGGAGAATTCTGCCATTATGTAAATGTGTATTTTACTATTTACTATACATTATTTTTATTAATTCATGTAGGAACTGTGTGCATACATGTATGCATATATATATATATATATATTGTGTGTATGTGTGTGTGTGTGTATGTAAATTATAGGAATTTGAGTAAAAAAATAAAACCCACACATGAAAGCCCACACAGAATACTTCCACAGACAAAGACTTTCACAATGATTAATGAATTGGCAATGGAGGACAGAAATGGCTGTTGCTAGGATACACAGGAAGATGGAATGCAAATGATTAAAATAGGAGGAAAAAGAGCCTACAGTTATGAGATGGTGAGATCAAAAATAGCATTTTATCCCAACATCCACCTAGTGTTTATCTGACCCCAGAGAACCTTAGGAAATATTATGATACAAAAATTCTTTTGTTCTTTTTAACAAAAATCTTTGGACAATTATGAGACATAGCATTTCATTTCGATGATAAATGTAATGTGCTTATTTCTCCTGTAATTGTCTGCTTTTCGCTAACCTTCTTGTTCTGGCTTTTTTTTTTAGCCATTCTGCTAGGGTTGCCACGGAAACAGCAGTCGGAGTCAGAGACGGAGTGAGAGAGAGTGACCCCCGTCTCTGGTTCTTTGGCGCCCTGCTCCTGCTGTCACGCCACCGAAGCCGCAATGGACGGGCACAGCCGAGCCAAGCGTGAGCAGCACCTCTGAACTGCTGACCCAATGGTACGTTCTCCTGCTCTCCGGGACCCGACCTGCGGTTTCTCTCTTCCACCATGGTCCTTGACTGGGTGGTACGGTCTTTACGCTGATGAATACAGCACTGTGCAAAAGTCTTAGGCAGTGATGATCTTCATGTTGATGTACAACTATGACATTATGTCTGTCAAAGACAGTCAGCCACCACCTCTGTTAAAGACACTCCGGTATTTATAGCAACCGTGCATAATACTGTACCAAGGTAAATTTGACTGGACCACTAGCATACATTGTTTGGCTAATTAAAAGCTCTTCGGGTTATTTAACTAATAAAGATAATTTATTAAGTGAGCTGGTGGCAAAATTTAACAAATACATGGAATGGCTGAGGTGCCCCTGAGGAGAGGTTTGGGAACTGAAGCTGTGTTCATCTAGCCATCCAACTAGATATCAGTGACTCTTTGGAGAACAAAAGAAATTCCTGTTAGTTTTTATTGTGTTAACTGTTCATTTGCATATGTTCCAATATTATACATTTTAATTGGATAAATAGCTTTAACCCTTTTCTTTGCCTGCCTGAGACAGTACTGCGTATGTGTGCCAAGTTTCCTTTTTGCATGACATGCTTTGTGTGCCAGTACGTCGGCCGCCACGTTTGCCTAACCCCTACACGTCAACCTAGCAGTGGTGAAAACAATGAGATAGGTGATTAGAAACCTGTGCAATTTCATGAAAATAGTGAGCCATCATACAGAGGTGAGGTCTTCTCAAACTTGCTGACTGCGGGGGGTCAGATGTGACACTAGGATGGCGAAAAAAGTTGTCTGCCATGGGGCGGGGGATTCTCCTTTTGTTCTGTTTTGTTTTTGTTCTGTTTGGGCACATTACAACTCATCAGATGGTAACTTGAAACGGTGAGACTTGAAACGTATGCCCTAAGTTTTCTTTCTTAACTATCTAAAACTTTTTTTTTTTTTGCAGGAGTAGCTCATCTCTTGCCTCATGATTTTAATTTTAATTGCACCATCAATGTTCTGTTGTCTCTCTCTGATTGCTAGATTTCTGTCTCCTGTGTCTATTCATTTAAAAAATTCTATTTCAAGCATCGTAATCTGTGCTTGGTACGGCATCTTCGTAAGAATACAACAAAAAAAAATGCATTACCTTTTTCTGATCCCGATACACCTAAACCATCCGTATCCTGTTGGGTAAACGGCACACAGGGTTGACCGACAGAAAAGGAAGCCTCTTTTTTTTATATCAGATCATTAAAGCAAAAAGCCTTCCGGAGTTTAGGTGGAATAGAGTAGACATGGAAAGCTATAAGAATCTAGGTAGTTTTGGTAAACTGTTCTCTAACAATCTGGACTCTGGACTCTAAACAGGACATCAAGGGACAGTGCTGGACGGATGAGGAATCTGATGGGGAGAATGGCTCTGAGGAGTTTCTTTATGGAATCCAGGTGAGAGATCATGTCTCCTGCTACTAGGACAGCAGATCATCATGAGGAGTAACTTTACATCTTGCTGTGTTCCTCAACGTAACATATGAACTTTTATATTTAAAAAAACCTGAATTTCAGGCTTTATAACTGCTGTAGGAATTCTCCAGTCTGCTTTTGGAGCAATGGTAACAACATATTACATCATTACATCAGACTCTCATCTTCTCTCCTCCTGATTCCAATTAGGAATGCTTTCACTGTGAATGACATTCAGGGCAATATTTTTTAAAAATTCAGCCAGGGTCCCATCCTCAGTGTCCACTGCCTCAAGCTTTAAGCTTGCCAGAATTGACTTCACAATCACCGTGACCCTGATCTGGATGAGCGGTCGAGGGTCATGAATGACAAATGAGTACAGAGTGAAGCAGCCCTACCACGAGGGAAAAACACCATTGACTGTGGCTATGCCTTGCTTCCCGACTAGGTGCTACCTCATTTTATGGTTCTCCTTTCACATTTGATGAGACTGTGCTCTGCTTCAGCCACACACAGTAGCTGCTCTAACCATTTCTCAGCTACAACATAAATGGCTGAGCATAAAAAGCCCTATCCTGAATCATCAATCCTAACATGAATACTACTGCTAACATTAATGCTATCGCTAACATCCACATTGCTGCTAACATTAATACTATTGCTAACATCAATGCTGCTGCTAACATTAATGCTATCGCTAAACATCCATGCTGCTGCTAACATTAATGCTATCGCTAACATCCATGTTGCTGCTAACATTAATGCTATCGCTAACATCAGTGCTGCTGCTAACATTAATTCTATCGCTAACATCAATGCTGCTGCTAAAGTCAATGATACCGCTAATGGTAATGCTACCACTAATACTGTATAAATGCTGCCTCTAACACTACTACTACTGCCAGGGGTGTAGCTAGAAATTCTGTACCCCCTGACAAAATGCCACCTCGGGCCCCCTTCGTTGATTTTGCCATGTGGGGGTGGGTTGCAATGGTAGATTTTGGGGGCCAGATACACTGATGGTCCCCATGAATCTGCCGGGGTATCCATGCCACTCTGATGACCCTCGCTAACGCTAACATTAAATGCTGCTGCTAACGTTAATGCTACTGCTGACATTAATGACACTGCTAACATGAGGCACCAGTGATATCATCCTGAATATCAGCACAGCATGTCAATTATGGTTTAGTGGCCCAAGGTAGGATTTAAGGATTTATCGTCGTAAACACAGTAACCCCTGGCTGTTCTGACTGTGCTCCCTTGGCTGCCACAGTGGGGGAGTGGACTTACTTTGTGCCTGATGGTGTCCGCAGGGAAGTTGTGCTGCTGACCTGTATCGGCACCCGCAGCTGGATGCCGACATTGAGGCAGTGAAAGACATCTACACCGACGGCGCTGTTTCTGTCAGGTGTGGCCCCTTCCTATCAGATACATGCCTTCAAGAGCCCACTGCATGCATAATGTCTGTGCAAACAAGCGCAAAGGGAACGATACAAAAGGCAAAAACTGATTCCCAATCTGGTTCTCGGGGACCCACAGACTACATTTTGCTCTACCAGGCGCTAGGAGCAAAAATGTGGACTGTGTAGTTGGGAGCTGGGAGGGAGCAAAAACATGAACTGACCGTGGGTCCCCGAGGACCGGATTGGGAAACACTGCTTTAGGCAGTAAGCAAATAATCCCCAATGGACCATTATGGATGATCATCTTTCCTTTCTTGCCCTGACAGGGAATATGGCACTATTGACGATGTGGACATCGACTTGCAGATTAACATCAGTTTCTTGGATGTAAGTTCTGCTAACTCACTAATTAGCCTCTAGAACAACGCTAAATAAATTCGGATCTTGGCTTCATGGGACATCTCTGCTGCCTTTTTGATGTGATGGGGGCAGCGTGTGGCTCAGTGGGCTAACCCTGTGTGTCAGAGGTTCAAACCCAGCCTCAGCATATCTGTGGGTCCTTGAGCAAGGCCCTTAACCCCAACAGGTAGCTGCCCTTCACAGACAGCTTGCTCTACAAAGAGCAAGTTGAGGGAGGCATAAATGGAATTTCCCCATGGGGACAATAAAGGATCAATTGTTTTTATTATGTTTGATCAGCCTCCCCAGTGTCTCTGGGTGCCTTACCAATGTTTTTGCGGCTGCGGTCTTTCAGGAGGAGGTGGCGACAGCTTGGAAAGTCATCCGGACAGAGCCCATCATTCTCCGGCTGCGTTTCTCCCTCTCACAGTACCTGGATGGTCCTGGTGAGAGCCAGCACCCGTCTGCATGTGTGTGCAGACAGAATGTGTGTTCATTGACATAGACAGATGTATGTCTGCATATAGCTGTACTTGGCATATTTTGTAGAATAACTTCTGCTCCATGGAATGGCACACTGCACTTCTGGGGTTCAGAGGTCATCTACTTTAGTGCTTTATTACCTTTATCCACAGAGCCATCAGTGGATGTGTTCCAACCATCCAACAAGGACAGCTTCAGTTTGGGCTTGCAGCTGAAGAAGTGAGCATTCTTTGTTTTCTTGATTGTGGCCCAGCTTTACAAAGTTATATGGAATTCCCTGAGCTGGATAAAAATAAATATTTCTTCTTAACACAGTTTTCATGAGGTTTAGTACCAGAACGGTTGAGGTATACATCGATAACAAATAGCCAACAATCAGTCATATAATACACGCGCATAAATACGCACAACCACCTCCTACTCTCTGCCTTACTCTTCCAGGATCCTCGGCCTGTTCACGTCACAGCAGTGGAAACACCTGAGCAATGAGTTCCTGAAGGCCCAGCAGGAGAAGAGGCACAGCTGGTTCAAGGCTGGAGGCACCATTAAGAAGTTCCGAGCTGGTCTCAGCATCTTCTCCCCCATACCCAAGTATGACAGACCTCTCCTCTTACTAATTCGCCACTGTAAAAGTCCAGTTGGTTATAATTCTTTTTCATTTCCATTAAAGCATCTATATTCGTCTATTTAACACATGTGCCTGCTAGTAATGTATTTAAATATAGAACTGCTAATGCTCCGAGATTCTCCATACTGTACATAAGTGTGTAAATGAAGGCTAACTGCACCCGTGCCTCTCACCCAGATCTCCCAGCTTCCCCCTTATCCAGGACACGGTTCTGAAGGGGAAGCTAGCCGTCCCCGAGCTGCGTGTGACCCGCCTCATGAACCGGTCCATCTCCTGCACCATGAAGAATCCTAAGGGCGAGCTCTTCAGCTACCCCCCCAACAGTCAGGTCAGAGCCATTCCCTACTGCTCCCGGCCTCGCCCCCAGAAACACACCGTGGGTCAAACATTTCAACATCATACCCCCGATTAGCTAACTCCCAGTTTGCCGCTGCATGTAAGCCTGAAATTCAACACCTGGTTGAAGTAAAAAAACTTCAACACGCACAGTGCCTATTAATCAGTAGAGCTTCTTTAGATACCGAAGTGTTTATGCGTTTAATGAGAATGGAAGCGGCAGTTGTTTTTCCTGATCATTCTACTAAACCAATCACTTTCCCCCACTTTTCCATATGACTAGCACCCTTTTCCCATAATGCTTTGTCTCCACTTGACCCATCAGAGTGTGGCTGTCCCCACGTCCAGGCCACCAGCGCAGATTACCACGAAGCAGCTGATTGAATTATTTTTCTCATCCCAGGCGGGTGGCCACTGCAAGAATATCCCCACTTTGGAATATGGCTTCTTAGTTCAGGTAGGGCCCGTACTAGCTAATATCGGTCTTATTCATCACATATTCATGTGGCACAATCTTAAACATATTTTTATGTGTAACTACATTATTAATTGTAGTGCATGTTTACACCTATTTGTGAGTAATAGGAACTTCCGGGACAACGTGTGGTTTTAACACTGAACTTAAATAACACTTAATATAATTCATATAAAACATTATAATTGATGTGCTAGAACTTCCGCAGGGGAGGTTCATCATAGAGGCCTCTGAGGCCTTACCATGTCTCTTACAGCCCATGTCCGTGAATCTAAATGGCTGTGAATTTGCCCCTAATGTGTTCTTGTCCAAACCGGCGGAGCTCGAGATTGCAAGGGAAACCGTGTCCTGTTTCCCTGACAGATCATGAAGTACTCTGAGCAGCGCATTCCCACGCTGAATGAGTACTGCGTGGTGTGCGACGAGCAGCATGTCTTTCAGAATGGCTCCATGCTCAAGGTACCTGGGGAAGGGGTGGGGGTGGGGGGCGGGAGAGGATTTACAGCCTGGAGGCTAAGAAAAATGGGTCTCTGTTAAGTGAACATTTTTCCCTTTCTGCCACAGTTAGAGTTAGAATTCTATTTGTCCATGTCAATCCTTTTTTATGTATAGTACATGGCCAAAAGTATATGGGCACTCATATTAATTAGAGGGATTGGTTAATTAAGCCATACCAATTGCTGATGCAGGTGTACTGTATAACTAAGCACACAGTCACTTACAGTAATCTCCTGCAACAATCAGCAGCAGAATGGGTGGTTGTACAGGAGAGGTTAGTGACTTTCCACTTGGCACCATCATAGGAGTCCATCTTTCCAACAAGTCAATCTGCCACATTCCTGCTCTGGTAGAGCTGTCCCAGTCAGCCGCAACTGAATGATTGCATTAAAGGTCTGGGAGCAAGTTGGGTGTGAAGTGGTCGGCCACACAAGCCCACAGAAAGGGACCTTATAGCCTAACATCGATATCCAACTTGAATGGTAGTAACTCCCACCAGCAATGCTGCAACACCTTATGGGAAGCCTTCCCTGAAGGGCAGAGGCTGTAATAGCAGCAACGAGCCGACCCTCTTCATATTAATACCCTGCTAAATTTCAGAATGAGATGTTAGACAAGCTGGTGTCCGTGTGCTTTTGGCCATATAGTGTATGTGTATTCTCCCTTTTGTCCACCGTTGCGCATGAGACCGTCTGTTTGTGGGTGAGTACCTGCACACTGTAAGCGCCTGAGCCTGAGTGTGTGTCCTCCTGCCTACACAGCCGGCGGTGTGTACTAGGGAGCTGTGCGTGTTCTCCTTCTACACCCTGGGGGTGATGTCCGGAGCTGCAGAGGAGGTGGCCACGGGGGCAGAGGTGATCACATTCTCTCGCGTGTCCCGTCTAAAGAGCTACCAGCACAGATCTGCATTGATGGTAGACTTTGAGTTCCTTTATGAAGATGTGGGTCCACCTTGAAAGAAAATTACATGCTTTTCAGATCTATTTTTCTGCTTTATTTCATCTCAGAAAAATCTAATTCGGTCTGACAACTAAGTTATGTCTAAAGCAAGTTAGCAAGTGAATAAATATTCATACATAGAAAATTCTGTGTATAAAATTACTGCATACAGGAAGGCATTTTTCAGCTGCCCTGCTGAGTCAACAAAAGGGTGCTTCATTTAAAATTCAAAATTAGGTTTTATTCAGGGTTTACAGGAAGCATAAAACTTGGGTATATGATTCAGCATTATGTTTCTCATAATGTTAGTTTTGTAGGAAGACAAGTCAGTAGACATTTTCTTGACTTGATCTTAAGAACTAAAAAAGAAACAAAATAGCCACATTTATGTATTTACCAAATAAAAATAAAAATACGATGAGAAAATGAGAAAATATTCAGCGTACCATTATTTGGAGCTAAAGCTGCTATGAAGGACAGACTGGTTGCCGGACCTAATAAAAAAGTAGCATTAGCATTAACATTGTGAGCTAAGATCGCAGCTGGGAGGAGCTGAGAGCTGGATGAAGATTGTCAAGTGGACTTATCACATGGGGATCACTGACTTTCACTGATGTTCTGTAGGTTGTGGACCTGCTGGTGGCCATGTGCAGAGCAGCCTTGGAGTCTCCTCGCAAGAGCATCATCTTCGAGCCTTACCCTTCGGTAGTCGACCCAAATGACCCCAAAACTTTAGCCTTCAACCCCAAGGTGGCCATTTCTGCTAATTTCGTCTTGACCTACAGAGTAAATGCATGTCATGTGATGGCTCCATATCTGTCTAACTTGTGCTTTTCTTAACCTCCTCGTCAAACCACAGAAGAAGAATTATGAACGCTTGCAGAAAGCGCTGGATAGTGTGATGTCCATCAGGGAGATGACACAGGTACAAATGCTGGGTAGCAGGTGTAGTATCTCACTAGATATTTGCTACCCAGTATTAAATTTGCTATCTTAGAGATTGGTATGACATGGAAGTTTTCCAGCTCTCACCAAGCCGATAAGAGGCTCTGTATGTAGAGAGAAAAGCTGTTGTTATATCAAGAACTTTAACCAACGGTGACTTTTAGAAGTTATTAGTCACTCTGCTGGCCGCAGGATTTGAATCGGCAACCTTGCCAACCCTCAGAGCTGCCCTCGCTCACCCAAATATTTTTTTAAATACTTTTCCGGTTAGTGCATAATTCCATATATGTTATTTTATAGTTCTGATGTCTTTATAATTAATCTAAAGTAGTACCAATCAACCTTTCTATGGGTGGGTGTGTCCAAACGTTTGACTTGTAGTGTATGTAGTAATAATAATACTATGTAGGCTATGTGTGTTTGTATGCAGATGCTTTGACACCAGAGGATACAACCAGTCCTGGATTGACTTTAGGTTATTTCATTTTCAGGGATCATATTTGGAGATTAAGAAGCAGATGGACAGGTTAGACCCGCTGGCCCATCCTTTGCTGCAGTGGTGAGTAGTGGCCTGTCTGCACGCCACAGAAAGCCTGCTCTTCAAGCTTCTGCCTTAGGGAGGCTCCTTGCCTTCTTACCTCATCTGAGGACTTTTGCTTCTGGAAGATGCCATGTTTTGTGGTGTAGCAACATTGATACGGATATTGACTTTGGCCATGCTTCTTCCGTCTTCCGTGGATGCATAGAATACGTTTCCTGTCTTCTAGGATCATTTCAAGCAACAGGTCGCACATTGTCAAGCTGCCACTGAGTAGGGTAGGTAATCAGATCCTATACTTTTCTTATCGTATTGCTGCCATCTTAGTAGAGCCATGCTTAGTAGAGCCATGCTTAGTAGAGCCATGCTTAGTGGACCATATCTTGGACCCTTTTTCCACCTAAGGGTAACTGACCACCCATTCTCTCAGCTCCGGCACCATTCACTTCATTCAGACTAGCTTAATTAGCATAACAAAGAGGCAGCAGCTGGAAAAAGCCATCAAACAGACTGTGAGTTTAATGAAGGATCAAGGATTCTGTTGTCAGTGTGGAAGTGTGGTGACACTCGTACAATGAAACTGAGCAGCAGCTTCCCTTAATGCACACATAAAACATGTGTGGTAACGGAATTTAACACGGTACCTGAATACGAATGCAATAGTTACATTTGAGATTCTAGGAAGGCTGGAGGGAGGATATTACAGTAGATGCGCTATACAGATGGACGGCACTCAGCATGAGTAGTGTATTGCAATTGAGATGATGCAAAATGAGTAGTACTGGGCAACAAAGTACTGACTGAGGACAAAGTACTAGACAGACTACCGTGCAAGACAGAACAGACTGCTGAACAAGACAAAGTGCATGACACAAAGTACCAGACAAGATGAAAAACAGTTAGATATCGTATATAACAGCAGTGTAGAATTGCAGTGCACTGTAGTGCGACTGTGGAAATTGGTTGGGCTGTCAGTGGCTGAGGGAGGTAAGTCTCCTGGAGAACAAGCAGTTCCCGAGTCTGCTTGAGTGGGTAGGAATGGTCCTACACACATGGCTCCTTTAATTCATCTGAAGCGCAGTCGCACTGCATAACAGGGTGTAACCAGCCGTTGTTCCTCTCTTCTCCACAGCAACTGAAGTTCATGCACACATCTCACCAGTTCCTCCTGCTCAGCAGCCCTCCGGCCAAGGAGGCCCGATTCCGCACAGCCAAAAAGCTCTATGGCAGCACCTTTGCCTTCCAGTGAGTCAGACCCCCACCCCACCCCAAGAGCTGCACCACCTCCCCTGAAACGCTCTCCACCCCACCTTTCTCCCCAAAGTGCCCTGTTTACAGATCGAGTCCACCGGCAGCAGGAAGAAGGGATCATATGCCGTGCCGTCTCCCCTAAAGAGTGGTACAGATTGTCCTTAATAGCGCTTGGGGGCTCACCTACACACAGCTTTGGCATGGCATGAACAGCACGTCGTTCCTCAAAGTAATATGAAACCAGCTCATTCCTCAGAGGCTTGACTTAGAGGCGCTTAATGAATGTTACCAAGAATATTGTTCTCGCTAAGAATAATCATTCTAAAAATGGAATGCTGTAAAGGCAGCATCAATCTTACTATGACTCAAGTGATTTATATTAAGAAAATGTAAAGAGAAAATTTGTTACGCTTTGACTATTTTAAGTAGAGGGTGCATTGGCTAGACTGTTATGTGCTGGTTTTGTTTGAAGGACCTTGGATGGTCTGTTTTGTAGTGCTTCAGCTCTTCGGTGGTTTAGAATTTGACTTCAGAGAATTTCTTTGTTTAAAAGCTGCTTTCTTACGTCTGTCATCCACAAACAGGCTGGATTGTTACACTTACCCTGATATCCCAAAGAAAGTAGCAGCTTCGCCGTGGCCCGGCGGACTGGAAAAACTGGAAATGTTGACCCATCTACTGGATGTATACTGTTCTGTTTGTGCTTCATAGCTGCTGTAGAACCCTGGACAGCTCTGGTCACACATGCTACAACGTGTTGGAGGACTGGTCTGTATTCACAGCTCTCGTTGTCTCTCTCTCTCTCCGCACCTGCTCTAGTGGTTCCCATATAGAGAACTGGCACTCCATTCTGAGAAATGGACTAGTCAATGCTTCTTATACCAAACTACAGGTATGTAGCTCTCGCATTTAGCCAAGCTAAGATGCATCCTCCCTTGGACAGCGCCTGTCTTCTTGACTTAAGTCCGCTGTCCAGCTGATCCATTTTGACAGTAACGGATGCCATGTTTCTCATCATCTCAACGGGACGTTTTCTTTTCGTTGTCGTCTTTGCCTTTGTTGTTGTTTTTTTTCCGTGCTATTTTACTGGCAAGGCCCACCGGTGACAGCTGTGGCACATGCCAGGCGTCGGTCCCTTCCCGGGCTGGCAGCGGTGTACACTGCATCCCTCCCCGTCCGCCAAGGACGAAGGGAGTGGCGTCCACCGGTAGCCGGGTTACCGGTCGGCCTTGTCGACCACTAGGGTGGGACCACTGGGAGCTTCGAGCGTGTCACACTCGCCTTACACTCTCTGCTGTTACCCTCACTGGTCTCGTCACAGCCGGATTCCCACAGAGAGTGGGGCTCCGGCTGCAGCTAAACGCTAGGCTTGTCTGTCTGAGTTGCTAGGTTGCTAAAGTGTTGTTAAGAAAGCACTGTGAGTACCGGAATGCTAAGGGAAAGGTCAATAACTCTCATCACACATGCTTTTCAGTGTTTCCTTCCGTTTGTTTATTTTATTACCATGCATTTGTCATACATCATATCTGCTTGGTCACTAGCTAATGTGGGCATACAGTACATTATTTTACATTATTATCCACAAGAAAACCTGATCTTAGTAACCATTACAAAGCTAGTAGAGAGATTCCCCAACTAGGCTCCATTTTGACAGACAGGTTGTACATGGAAAGGGACGTATGTCAGAGCAAGATAATTGCACCGATTGTTAGGTGTGAGAATGAGACTGGTAGATGTGTGTGAGGCTGAGATGGACGCACTGCTGTACAGTGCCGCATTCTTCTGCGTGCTGCACAGTGCACACTAGATAGAGTAGCGCTTCAGGGCGTACGGCTGCCATAAATTTATTTTTGCATAGAATTATTTGTTTATTTATTTTTAACTTTGGTCATAGCTGTGAGTCGTCATAAGTGGCTTAGTTTGTAAGTGTGTACTGCAAATATTCAGAGGTGTAAGTCAGTGAGTCAGCTCTAGTTCAAATTTCGCCTCTTATTTCTGGCCTAAAAATAAACTGCACATTCTAAGTTGAAATATATATCTAAAATATCATGGACTCTAACCAGTATTCGCCATTATGGGTGGGCAGGCAGAATAGTCGGCTGGCTCAGAGAGCTGCGCGAGACTCATCTTTCTCCCACTCATGCCACAGCTGTCCTTCGGTCCTGGCCTCCCCTCCAGGAAAACGGGGCCCAGCTGTGACTCATTAGGCGAGTCCTCGCAGAGAATCATGCGGGGGTGACTTAGCCGTGTTTGCTAGTCAACTCCAAACGCGGCGCAACCAAATGATCCTTCATGCAGCTCATGCTGCTCGTATCGGAAGCGACTCTGACCTTTCGAGCACATTTTCAGGCAGGTGTGTCTCTCCTCAGGATACCCAGGCAGACATAATTTTGTTCAAATTCCTCACATCTTGTCCCTGGATGCCGGTTTCCCTTTATCGGCTCTTTCTGAGCCCGTTACGCGTATCAGAGGAATTTCCCTTCGCTGTTCTGTACCAGCCTTTGCAGACTGCATTTCACCCCTACACATTCGTCATTTGAGCTTGCACCTCAGCTCAGTTGTTTTGAAGCTCCTCATGCATACTCCATTGAGTTGCCTCTGTCTTTGCGGCAGGGTCATACCTCCCTGGTTCAGCCAATCATCAGGGTCATACCTCCCTGGTTCAGCCAATCATCAGGGTCATACCTCCTTGGTTCAGCCAGTCATCAGGGTCATACCTCCCTGGTTCAGCCAATCATCAGGTCCTCCCTGCCATGCTGCTTTTCTCACCTTCACCCATACCTCTGTGCTGTAAGCATTCGCTGCCTTTCACATATACCAGTTGTCTTTTTTACCCTCAGTCACCCACTTATCATTTCCTCACACTCATTCTCTGGCTGCTTTTCTAGAGAACCTTATGTCTGAGCCTTTGGTGTTGGATGCTAACAGCTTTATGGCTTGAGCAGAACAATCTTCATGCAGAGATTGGTCACAAAGCTAAGGTCTTCCTTCTGAGGAGCACTTCTTGGAGGTGTCTTGGTTACCCCCCCACCCCATCTCTGCCCCTCCCACCCCCCCACCCCCCACGCCTTTAAACCGTGTCACTCTTGGTGATTCTCAACCTACTTTTTTCAACGCAAGCTGCATGGGGCTGCGTACGGAAAGGGCATCTATCTCAGCCCCATCTCCAGCATTTCCTTTGGATACTCAGGTAGGAAGATGCTCTTTGTTCCCGGGGCAATTCTAGGTTTTTTTTTTAAGGTGGGGGACATGACAGGGGCCATCCGTATCATTAGCTAAATGATGTGTTTTGTAACAGTGAGTGACAGGGGATGGAGCCAATCAGCTTTCAGCTGGAGCCAGTGTTCCTATGGGCCCGCCCCTGTATGCACGCCTGATTTGTTCTTTCCGTACGGGGTCGGTGTGCTCTAGTCCATTGCCGTCCTGCCAATCCACTTGCAAGGAAGCCCCCAAACACTAGGCAGTCCCTATGTCTGAAGTGCTGAAGTACTAGAAGAACCACCACCCCCTCCCCCCACCCCCCCGCACTGGCTGTTTGCTCTGTTTTGAGAGGACGGTCCCATTACACCCGAATGTCTCACCCTCTGGCGGGCAGCCTGTTTCCAGTGTGAAACAGGGGGGTCTGACCCTACCTCCGCCGCTGACTCTGCCCGTCGTGCGGCTCAGTGCCGGTGCACGTCAGGCTTACGCTGTGTGTCTGTGTCGGTTGCCGCGGTGACCCAGGGATGGGGAAAGGACAGCATCGCATGCCCTCTAAAGACGAGCTGGTGCAGCGCTACAATCGCATGAACACCATACCCCAGGTACACCCTCCCTCCCTCCTGCTCCAGCCACTCCCATGCAGAAAAGTCTGCAAATGATTCCTTTTCATGGATAGATATTTATCAAATAAGCTATTGCTATTGGGACCTGCAAACACATTACCCACTGTATGGAACTTGTAACCAGTAGGTTGTACCATGGGCATAATTATGGGGGGTGGTTGTAACCCCCCCCCCCCCCAATAAACAAAGCCAGCCAATATAACCCCCTGGACCCCCTTAAATGGGTGAAGGCCTAACCCTCCCCCCAATGCTGAACCCAAAATTATGCCCTTGGGTTGTACATTTAAATCCCAACAGGTCCAGACCCTTAATGATGGTCTTTATTTCATTTTAGTAAATATTAAGCTGTATTAAGGCAATATTTTTTCTGTAGAATGTGTATTCCACCTGTTAAGCAAAAGAAAATTTTAATGTTAAAATGTTTTCACAAGTAAGCATACATATCATTACAAGTATCCATATTAAGATATGATGTCTATATATTATACCTGTACATTGTTTGCAGAAAACAAATGTTTATGTTCGACTTCCCGTTTCCCTAGAGTCGACCAATACAGTCCAGGTTTCTACAGAGTCGAAATTTAAACTGCATTGCTCTCTGTGAAGGTAAAATGTTGAAATATCATATTAAAATCAACCATGTCTAGAAGAATGAAAGACAAGAATAGTGCCATATATTTTGTATCTTAGACACATAATGTATATGATTAACGTGTCATCTAGCATCATAGACTCATGCTTTACATGTGTACAATGTCATCTGGTAATATAGACACATACAGTATATGTTTACAATGTCATACGGTATCATAGACACATCTAGTAGATGTTTATATTGTCATTTGGTATCATAGACAAATGCAGTATACACTTACAATGCCATTCGCATCAAAGAAACTTGTAATATATACTTACATTGTCTCATAGGCACATATAGTATATACTTACAATGTCATTCATATTATAGACACATACAGTATATACTTAAAATGTCATTTGGATCATAAACACATACAGTATATACTTACAATATCATTCGCATCATAGGCACATATACTATATACTTACGTCATTCGCATCATAGACACTTATGTCATCAAGCAACATAGCCACATAATTTATATTTACATACTATATGTGCATAGTATAGTATAGTATATAGTATGTGTATACAGTCGTCCCTCGTTTATTGCGGTTAATCCGTTCCAGACTCTACCTCGTTAAATGAATTTCCGCGAAGTAGGATTTTTTATTTCTTTATTATTCGGCTGCACCTGCCGTTGAAGGATTTGCGGGGGTGCTCGAATACATAGGCCTACAGTCCATACGTACAGTAATTTTAATTTGAATTGTAATACAGAGGTGTATAATTGACTCAGACAACCAAGCGCGCGCTGTATCATTTTCACTGTCTATCAACTTTTTAATGAATAAATGTATTTGAAAAAACCGCGATAGAGTGAAGCCACGAAAGTCGAAGAGCGAAATGGCAAGGGACGACTGTATGTGTTCAAATGGTATTGTTTACTTACAATGTCATTCACATTACAGAAATATAGTATATACTTGAAATGCCATTTGCATCATCGACACATATAGTATATACTTACAATGCCAATCGCATTATAGACACATATACACATTACAATGACAGTGGTATCATAGACACATATAGAATATACTTAGAATGATACTGACATCATACACTCATATGTCATTTGTTTAAAATGCAGTGTGTCATCATAGGTGCTTGCAGTATATGTTTAAGATGATCAGATACTGTAGTACCACATGAGGTAAATAGAAGGTCCTTTTGCCTGTGTTCTAGTGATAACATCCAAGGACCTTCAGAAGCATGGAAACATCTGGGTGTGCCCTGTGTCGGACCACGTCTGCACTCGCTTCTTCTTTGTGTGAGTGTGTCTGTTCTAGGCCAAAGGTTAAATGTGTTTCACGTTTTCAGCACGTACCAGTTTAAAAATACGCAACCCATGTCCAAAGGCGACACAGCAACTTTATCCTTAGCTGCACCCGCTCTTGGGACTGACTTCGTAATGAAGACCGAAGCAGCAAATTCCCAGCTGGAACCATTTTATCACCCAAGTCACTCTCTTCCGTTTTTTTCTTCCCTTTCATCCTCCCACATATTCCTTTAGGTACGAGGATGGCCAGGTGGGAGATGCCAACATCAACACCCAAGAGCCCAAGATTCAAAAAGAGATCATGCGTGTGATCGGGACTCAGATTTACTCCGGCTGAGCCGAAGACCTTGCGTGGCCTCGAGTTGGGCACTGACGGAAAACCCGGCACTACATGGGGTCATTAAACTGTGCTGCATTAACAGCTGGTTGTTAGATGCTTTCACAAAGGCTCAAGGGCCAAATGGTGGCCCGCTTTGCTCTTGTTTTTCAATTCTTATTCATTATCGGTTTGCTCTATCCATCAGTCCATCTCTCTCTGAAGCTGTTGGGAAAGGGGCGGATGGATGAGGGCCCCAGGGACATTGAGAAAGAGGATTTCCACCAGAAAGCCTTTCCATGACTCTCTGAAATGCTGCACTTGGCTCTGGCTTAGAGGGGCTCCTGGAAACCGCTCATCCTTCACGCTGCCCTGAATAAGCACTGGAGAACAACCTTGAACATGTCTATCCCCAACCTGACACAATGCCCCCCGCACACAAAGGCACCACCCCCTCCCTGAAAATACACCCCCAGCAAGCATGTACCTAGCCCCCCCAACCCTAACCCTAACCCTAACCCTAACTCACCCATCACTCTCGATTCCCTGCTTTTGAACATTGTGTCCAAATCACACCAGAAGTCTTCTTCAGCCATCTTATTTAACACTTCCTGCGGCCTGGAAATCAACTTCTGGATTATTTTTCATGATGAAATTAATGTGTGTTACATCTGTTCCTTTCTTGATATTCCTGAGTTGGTATTTTAATGTACCAGATTCAGGTGTGTGCCGCTGGCTGTTTTCAATTCACTATAGTTCCTGTTATTCATTTGAGTTCACTTAATTTCTGGAGTTAAATAAAAAGAGTACATGGTGCAATATATTTAAAATATAACCTCGAGGTTTTTGCCGGCATGGTGGCCCTCGGTAGCACTGTTGGGTTCTACATCCATGGTTGAGGGTTTGACTCTCACTCTGCGTGAGTTTTCATGTTCTGTCCGTATCGTACGAATTTCCTCCCACAGTTTAAAAACATGCAGTGAGACTAATTGGTATTTCAGAATTTCTTGTAGTTTGTGTATGTGCCCTGTGATGCACTGGCATCCCATCCAGCATATACACCTACCCTCTACTACCTGGGACAGGTTCCAAGCCCCCCCAACCTGGAAAAGTGGTTGGAAGACTAATGGACATTTTGCATTAAAAATACCTTTTAAACATGACTCATTACAGTGAACCGAATACAAAGACGATTGTGAGTGTTCAAAACCTTACTGACACTTGTGATGGAAACAAAGTCATTACCAGTTTGCAAGTATGAAAGAGAATTAAATTTTCTCAGTGCTTTTATTTCCATCTCAGCTCTCCTTCGCACTCTTGTGATCGGATTACATAGAACCCAAACCCCATTGAACATGTAACTCTCTGTGATCAGCTCTTTATGGACCTGTTTATGCGAAATGTCACAAGGTTTCTTCTTATGCACTGAATTGTGGCCTGTTGAGTCTGGAAATGAAACCTCATTCCACAGCTGCATACCAGATATTACGTGACCAGCTTCTGATGTCATTCGCACCATCGACCCTGAGGACTGAACACAACATCACTGGCTTTGAAAGTCAATTCTTTCACAGTCACTTACGCATTTGTGTGATCAACAGTTTTTATTTTTTTCCCACATCCGCCTTCCTTCTATTTGACCTGGCATTTGTTTGACGTCTGCCTGGCCATCCAAGGGGCGGAGTCACTCTCTGACATTTGCCACACTGGCCTCTGTGCTGAAACATGAGTATAATGGAGATACATAGCGGCAGTGTTAGGTACTGTGATCTTTCTCGTTCAGCTTCTGGAATGCTGCACCGCTTCCTGTCTGTGATGTCGTCACAGACGTCATGAGGTGTGTGACTTTTGGGCATGAGAGGTGAGGGGGATGCCTTGTATGGACTTCAGAGGGATTATTTCCGCAGACAATATGGACACCAGATTCTAGAACTTTCCTTCTTCCCATCCTGTCAGTTAGAAATGCCCTAGAGTCTCAGTGAAACTGTATGGTTACTTATGTATCTACAAACACCAGTTTGTCGTCCCTTTTGTTTCTGTTTAGTGCTGTCTGTGAATGAAGGATTACAACAATGAAATCCTGATAGGCAAGGTGAAAAATAAAGACTGATTTTGCACAATTTTACACAGTCTCTATGTCATTCATTGGCTTCTGCAGGGACAGAAAGAGTTCATACAAATGGCCTTTTAGATGGATAATTGTGTCTAGATTGCAAGGAGAGAACCCATGTACAATATCTATGCCTATCTGGCAGACTGGAGTACAACTCAGGCTTTTGTAACTCCTCAGAAAGCTTTTATTCTATGTAGGTTTGGTGTCACCAATATCAGGATTAGGACTATAGGGGAAAGAAAGAAGTCTGTGAATAACAGAAGCGTTACTGGAAACATTTATATAAGCCATGTCATTGTCAGTCCCTCAATAAGGAGCATGCTTGATGCTCCAGTTCATGGTCACCCAATCCAGTGCTCGGGGACCCAGAGCCGGTCCACGTTTTTGCTCCCTCTGAGCTCCCTACCAGACAGTGCATATTTTTGCTCCCTGTGAGCTGGGAGGGAGCAAAAATGCATACTGTCTGTGGGTTCTCAAAGACCAGATTGGGAACCACTGCTCTAGTTTATTAAGACAGTGTATGGTGGCCTCTCCCTGCAGCTTCCTGTAGGTGGCGCTGTTATTTGGGTATTTAAGTGTTTGCGTCAAGGCAAGAGAATAGTGTGATTCTGCACGTCTTCCCTACCTGCTGTAACATCATAAGCCAGCCTTCTTTTAAGGAGTAGTCACCACTACACCGTGCTCTTGCGTCTGTCCTTTTGTGTTCCCCGCGTGCCATTGTGCCCCCAGCCTCATCGGACCTCCCTCACCCCGTCTCCTGTCCCAGTTAAACATTCCCCTTGGGTGTCTTCCTTGTACCCGAGTGAGAGAGAGAGACAGACATACAGGTACAGAGGAATGCAGGCCGTGGCGACCATGCAGTGCTGCTGTCTGCAAGCCAGTGCTCGCCGTCTGGCAGTAGTGCCGGGCTGCTAGCGCGTGTTGCCGCTCCGTGATGAAAGTCCACTGTGGGGAGCTCTTGCACCATCGAGGCCTCACTCACTTTTAAAAACCCATAACTCTGCTTGTTTGCCTGAGCGTTCGTGAACACGGAGGCGAAGCAGTAGTCACCATTGCTGCTTCAATCCCCCCCCCCCCCCCCCCACAACACACAGGGTAAATCACTGTGACTGAATTAAACTCTGTTGTTTAATCATCCACACTTTATTTAGTTCCAATCTCTTTGCTTTCAGCCCTGGGGTGATGTGTCTGCAAGCCTGGATAATGGTGCTGACAGTGGAGGTTGCCAGTTTAACTGGGATTTTAGGGTCCTACCAAATGAGATTGGGTTCTCCTGCATCCTGTTACGCACTCCTGGGTGTCTCTGAATGCCCACAGGCTGTAATGAAATAAGGATCATTTTGGACAGGTGATCCTTCTGCAGGTTTTACTTAAAGAACATCAAGTCCCTCTCACAGCTTGGAATTATGCTAATTTGAATTTTCATCCATCCATCCATCCATCTCCTAACTGCTTATCCTGGTCCAGGTGATGGGGGCAGGAGGCAGGAACCTGTCCCAGGCAGCACAGTGTGTCAGGCTGGGGTTCACCTAGGATGGGATGCCAGCATGTAGAATTTCATATTAATTAAACAAGGCTTTTTGGGTATCAAAAAAGGCAGGTGTAACCTAAAAAGGCTTTTCAGTGGAGCCGTGTCGGGAGGCACTGCTGGGAGCCAGCTGGATGATGCGCGTCTGTCCCTGGCCACGCTCACATGCATGCACCTCCCCGGCGGTCAGCCTGCACAGTGCCGGCCGTACGCCATGGGCGGAAAGCACACGGTGCAGTGCGGCATGCTGGGAAAAGCAAAGCCTGCAGGGCGACTCCATGCTGTTTTTCAACAGCTGGGCGGGGGACGTTACTGCCGTGGAGGGTGGCGTGCGGCTCAGCGGGTTAGGCTCCGTGCCCGTGAACGGAAGGTCACCGGTTCAACTCCTGTGTTCAGCACGACAGTCAGGTTGCTGTTGGCCTTCTGAGCAAGACCCCCTCCTCCCCCACAAAATAAAAAACGCTACAGGGTGGGATTACCCATATAGCTCTGTGTATCTCTCAACAGAGAGCATGATGGGAAATGCAAAGATAAACATTCCAATGCACTTGTACAAATGGCAAATAAAGCATTATTCCATATTTTCATCTCAGTCCTGAAGCTGCCACTCTGTCGTATTACTTAAGTGATCCGCTGAATGCCATATCCCATCAGCACAAATGACTCAGCCATTTACCCCCCAAGTCTTAATTGTTGCTCACATTTCTGCTGCTGTGGCTGTTATTGTTGTCATTGCTATCTTTCCCACAGTCACATTCACTTCAAGGCACGACTCCATCCACAAGCTAAATGGTTACATTTTCGCTAATTGGTGTTTACGGCGATGATCACAATGATGCAGTTTTTTTTTTTTTTAATGATCGCTCTCTCCTTCGCTTGCTCTCTCTCTCTCGCTGTTTTTTTAGTTTATAATACATTTCAATAGAAAGTGTTTACTCGGCATAAATTTCACTCCGTGCATACTATCAAAGACAAATCTCCCTTTCTGCCAGGCCTTCTCTTCCAAGCTTGCAATCCTTTACCTTCTTTGTCCCCGGGGTTGGCGAAGTTGCCGGTATCTTGCAGGCGGCAGTGAGAGCGTCAGGCTTTATCTGTTTATTGTTTGAAGTTCTCTGAGTGTCTGAAACAACAGCGATCACACCTGGCAGCACTGATGGCATCGCCACTACTTCACTCTCCAGCCGCCGTCGGCCCTTCTTGCGTTCGTGGAGAACGATAACGTCAGCGTCGCCCCAGGCGCCCTAGCCGTCTTGCAGTGGCACCCGGGCACCGTGTCACGTGCTGCTTTCATGGACACCCACCCTAGCAACAGTATTCATTTTTCTTTGTCTGTTACACGAGGACAGCGACAAATCTCCTTTGTCTACCACAGAAATAAACTGGCTGTTCTGGAAGCCCAGACTGATGTTCTCATGAATTCCCTGAGCGCTCACGCTCGGTCACATGCTCTGGGTCCCCCCCTGAGTTGACAGCCCCCTGTACCTCCTCCCGTCTCAAAATTATTAGCCATCATTACTGGCCTCAGCTACTAATATTTCCCACTAAATTTCACCTACTGGTCACCCCTGGCATCAGTGGTCCATGAGGAGATGTAGTCATCATTAAAGCATAGGGCCATGCTGTTCTTTAAACCCAGAGACCTTCCCAATAATGACATAGTTTCCATCCCTGAAGACATTCATGTCGCATGTCAGCCTGCGCTTCCCTGGATGTCCATGTAGGTCTCGGCCTGGATAATATCTTGATTTTTTAGCTTCCTTCGGTTGCTGGGGCCACTTGGCCACTTAAAATGTAATGGGAAGGATTCTCCTTAAATACTAAGAATAAAATATAACATAACAAAATTTACATTAAAATATTCAGACACCCGTAGAATGAAAAAAGCTAAACTTCATCTTTTTGGCAACATAACACTGGTCAGAAAAAAACATGAAAACTATGCATATTTTGTTTTCCACAGAGAATATCTTCAGTTATGCTACTTAATTAGAATACTTAAAAATGTCCATTTCCTGTCTCATCTTTTGAAAGATAACTGACCAGCATGTCTTATTCTGTGTGAGTGTGCGTATGTGTGCACGTGTGTGTGTGTGTGTGCGTGTGTGGATTAGGTTTATATTACATTGTGGGGGACCAAATATTCCCCACAATGTAATATACACATGTTTTTTATGTTGTGGGGGCCATTTTTCTGATCCCCACAAAGATCTGTGAATGCAGTCAAAAAAGAAAAAATGCCAAAAGTCTCAAATTCTGTTTGGTTACTTATGGTTGAGGTTAGGGCTGGGTAGGGGTTAAGGTTGTCACGATGGGATTAGAGTTTTCCCCATAGAAATCACTGGCGAGTCCCCACAAAGATATCATTACAAACCTGTGTATGTCTGTGCAATACATACAGATTATATTTGAGGTGTAACTAATTCAGAATGCAAATGAAAATGATTATGTCTGTTTACCATTTGAAGAGGTTGTTTGGAGGGAGTTGGACACACTGTGTGTTATTTCTTGACAGAAATTCGGTTAAGGTTATCAGAGCTTTGGGTCGGGTCCATTACGGAGCAGCTTCTCGTGGTGTCTCCTCTCCATCCTTTGGACTGTGGGAGGAAACTGGAATCCTGGAGACCTGGAAGTGAGGCAGCGATGCAAACCTCTGAGCTATGCTGACACCCACATCTCTAATTTGTTTTTAAAATTTTAGGCTGTTTTATTATATAAGCCGTTTTTTAAATCAAAATTTTATAAGTGAAATCTAGCTGGGAAACCCTGAAATAAATCTGCCCTGATAGTTTATGACTCAAATGATATTAAGTTTTATATAAGCACCCCTAAAACAGGTTGTTCAGACAGGGAAGTTCGGAAGCTTCTAGAAGGGTTAAATTAATACTCCGGCTTGTTATGCGCCTACTGGAAGGTTCCGAATGGCGAGCAGGCCAGTGTAGGCAACCAAGAAACAGGCTGTCAGAGGGAATCACCATTTATGAGCCGTCACTGCTCCTGCTTCACTACTTTTGCATCCATCTTTCACCCCTCCGCCCACTGCTACAGCCCCCGACCCCCAGAGTGACCTAAGATGTGGTGACATTCAGGGGCTGGTCCCCTGCCTGCCACGCTGACATTTGTGCTTGCCTTTGATGGCACCTTTGAGCAGAGTCCTACTGGTGGCCTCGTTTAGAGTGAGATGTCTTTGTCGTGGCTCCGCCTCCACGCTTCAGAGACATCAAAGACCGCAACTCTGACCCACTGATGGCTGTGCATGGCCCCCGCCCCACCCTCACTCCCACCCTTGCTCCCAGATAGACCTTTCCTTGCTACGCTGCGCTTCTTCACACAAAGTATGTGGCAATGGGTCAAAAACAACGCCTGGTGACATAATTAATTCATTTATTCATTCATGGTCATTAACTTATTTGCAACTGGCACAGCTGTACATTTAACACATTAATTTTAATTAAACTAAGTATTTATCAACATAATTTAGGTCTAGCCCCCCACCCCTCTAAGGCACAAAAGCTACACCCTCCCTGGGATTTTACATTAGAAGTCTAGTGTTATGGCCAGAGGACCATCTTATTTTGGCTTTACAGCACCGCATGTTCCTTCGTCTGGTGCACAAATAACACTGGTGCCATAATCACCACTCTAATTGAATGCCCAGTGTTTTCTAGTAAGTAATTTAAACTGAAATAACTGAATAAATCACACTGAGTTATTTAGATTACAGCAGACCAGCAGGAGGTAATGTAAGGTTCGTATTGGATTGCGAGGAAGGGAACAAGAAACATTCCGCGTGGTACGTCCTGCGCTTGCAGCGACGGCCCGTCCGTCACCCCCGAAAAGCACAGCTTTCTGGTCATGCAGTATTCATCAGACTCAGGGAAGAGGCTCACCTGCTCGTTCAAAGGTTTTCCGAGGCCCTGGAATTGGGCTGGGTACTAGCGGCAGCGATAAACTGGTAGGTCTCCAGTGAGGCGGCCCTGGATGTCCCCAGCCCAGTCACTAAATGGCCCTCACTCTTGTGAAATATGTATTGCTGCAGGGATGGCTGGGTGGTGTGCGATCTGGGGGGGCAGGGTAGTGGCAGCCAGGGTTAATAGCCTGACACTGCAGGATGGCGCCAGCAGGTCACTGCAGCACTGCCCTCATGCCCTTTCCCTGAGCCCTGACCTCCGTGACCCCCGCAGTGGCCCGGTACCTCCGGGTCAATCCAGTGGTCCTTTCTTTCACTTCCCCTTCCTCTCTGTCGCCGAGTCGAGGCCGAGGCCTCGGGCACCAGCCGCCGTAACCCCCCGCACAAACGCAGCGTGAGAGAGGTTAATTGGATTGTGATTAGGAGCCAGGCGATTAGCTGATGGCTAACTTTCAATTTTCCTATTGTGAGCAGGACAAAGAGGATGCGGAGCCAAAGGGCCGAGGATGCGAGCAGGGAGGCTGTGGCGCTCTGCCTCCTTTGTGGGGGAGATGTATTGAGTCGCGCTGCTGTGCTGGCCTGTCCTTTTATGGGTCCTGTGCTGCTCATAATTTTGACATGGGGATCTCAGAAGACAAACAGCCCTCGCTGTCTTTAATTTTCCGGCGGGGATTGAGCGGCACATGGGCGGCGAGAGCAGAGGACTGTTGTGAAATTGCTTTTGAGGCAGTGGTGAGGTACAGTACTCACGGTACAGCCCTTCCACAACACCCATCATCCTCTCTGTCAGACTACACACGCACACACACAAACACACACGCATACACAAAATGGACATGTCTATCTCGATAATGGCATTGATATTCTGTTCATTTTTATTAAATATTATTCTAAGGCAAGAGGAAAAACAACATGAGGGCCAGAAGCTGCTAGATTAGGGCTTATATGTCTTATTGCACCTTTGAAATTATCACTCGGAGAGATGACGAGGTCAGAAATGACCAAGAATATCACAGCAATAACAGTATCCAAATCATTCACTTTTGTTTTGATTCCCTTGTTAGGATTTGGAACAGAAAAAATATTTAAAAAAAAAATAAAACTTTTGAGCCAGCAAAAATGTTTCTGCTAGCAGCGAGCTTGATCCCAATCTGTCTGGAAACCTTCACATCCTTCAGGTATTTTAATTGTACGCTTGCAGGAGCATAAAGTCTAATTGTGGCTCAGGACCCAGAGTCTGGGGCTGTCGGTGTTATTAGCAACCGGATCCGCTTGTCGATAGATTCAGCATCGCCCCAAACAAGCACTTGCAGCGAGTGAAAGGAGTTCACTTTCCCTGGGAATATACACCACTCTGCCTCCATCCCACATATCCCCGATAAGCAGCTGTTTCCTCATTCATGGCGAAAATGAGGTTTTGGAGACCGCGGCCACGCCGCCAGGGATCAAAGTGAATTTGCCTTGGCCTCAGCGCGGCCGCCGGCAGAGACGGTAGCGGGAGGAATATCCGCCGTCGAGGAGGGAGCAGCATGCCGGCCACTGGAAGGGCTGGCAGGCGTGATTCTGCGACTGCCGAAAGCCTCCCGGTGGAGTGTGTGTGTGTGTGTGTGTGTGTGGGAGAGAGAACACGTGCATATGTGTGTGTCTATGTGTGAGTATGTGTGTGTGTGTCTGCGTTTTTGCATGGGGGTGGCAAAATCCATCTGCCAGGCTTAGATAAAGACACCTGAAATATAGGATTCTGGAAAAAAACACATTGGGCTCCAAAAAGGGGAACCAATAAACTGGTGTTATTTTTCTACTCCCCCTCAATCCACCCCCCCCCCCTCCCCCGCCCATGCCCCACCTACCCCCCCTGCACTGCTCAGACCTTTGGTACATCATCTCCTTCTGCCTCTAAGGGTCAGACAGTGTTACTGGCCTCCCCTGACTGGTCCAGTGGTTCCAAAAGAGAATACGATGGGCAGGTCGCGCGGTGGATGAAGCGTCACTGTGCTGGCAGGGTGCATTTCTCGACTCTCCATCTTCAGAATCCGTACCCCGAGGCGTCACTTTGTGAAATGGCCACCAGGTGGCGACTATAGCTGTTCTTTTTCAGTGTCAAGACGACAGTTGTAGCAGGAGAGCGGAGAAGAACCAGATGGTGAGATGGGCTTTGTTCTGGCTGTCCCACACCGTGACTCCAAGCCCAGCGAATATACATGCTCCGTGTGTAACTCCTCCGTGACACCAAGTCTCAGGGTTCATGAACTACGACTGTGATGGTTCTTCGGAGGTGGAGATGGGTGAGGCGTTTTACGCGGAACCCAGATTGGATGCATAAATTGAGCAGATGTGTGCATGCAAATAGAATTGTAAAATATGCTTAGGAGCTAATTAATCGCATCTATAAGAGCAGAGGGTGGCTGTAAGCAGAGGAGGCGGGACAAAGTCAGGTGACGAGCACATTCACTTCACCCTGATGCCTGAGTCCACATATTCTAGGCCCTGTGTGGCTCAGTGGGTTAGGATCCTGTTAGCGATTTAGATCACAGGGTCGGCAGTGATTTCACCTCTTACCATTGGATGCCATTCTGAACCTAAAAAAAGCATCTACTGAATGTAACTCCAGTGTGTGTCTCACCTTCTGTTGACACCAGAATGGCTCCCTTTTGCTTCTCATTCCTCACCGCCATCTTTGTTAAACCCGTCTCCACATTTTTCCTCTTTCAACATTCAGGTACATGATCGATGAGTGAGCCTGTCAGGAAAGCCGAGCCACATCCCAGGCATCACATCCTGTACCTCACCATTATGAGCACCGGTCAGGTCTGATTCACACAAGATGCCCTGAACTGAAACTAGCTCTGTTCTTTCATTTATGATCTTTTTTCAAACTTCCACTGATAGCTACCCCCTTCACTTATGAAACATTTCATTTTCAAGCAGGTAAATGCTGTAATGATCCATATCTCACTCCCTAGATATCCCCCATTAAATACTAAGTGCCCATGTTTAATGTGTTGTTAGCAAGAGATGCTCGCGCCAGTTTGCTAGGCATTATTCAACTGGCAGAGTTCCCACAATAATAATAATAATAATAATAATACAGTACATCCATTCATTATACCCCCTTGTCTTTTGCAGGGTGGTCATTTGGAGTCTATCCCAGAAGCTATAATAATAATAATACTAATAATAATAATAATTACCTGTAATAAAAGTGCCTTGAGAGATACACCATAGGCTTGGTTACTTGAGTTCCCTCCGGATCCAATTCTAGGGAGCGGTTGTCCCGATGGGCGGAGACTGACTGGACCTCGGGAATGACATAGACGAGATGTGGGCAGGGCCTGCACTGATTTGTCAGTCTATTTAAATGCTGGACAAGAGGCAAACCCAAAGGTGCCCGCATGCCGCATGACTGCACAAAAATGCTGCTCTCTCACAAAATCTCCCCCCCCCCACATGCAGCACCCCAGAGCCCCAGAGAGAGAGAGCCATTCTCAGTGTCATTACATTAATAAGCAGCCCTGACAGGCAATTTGACCTTCTTTCTTTCTCCCCACTCGCGCAGAATGTCACTCCAGGAAGCGCCCGGCACTGTACACTCTGGGTGGCGGCCAGCCCGTCGCAGATCTCCTCCTCGTGAACCCATTCTGCTCTCCTGCCGCTGCGGGCCAACCTCCCGTGCTCACTGGAAGCTCAGCAAGAACATACTCTACCTCTATTGCTGACCAAGTACACTGTAATGGCCTACATCTCTGTGCACCCAGAGGGTGTCAGGAAAATCTATACTGCCCGAATTTTGCTGATAGTTTGTTTTAAAATAGATAAATATTTGCATACATACACATATCCATATACTCGTATATGTACACATATATAATACATATCTTCTTGAGCTACATATATGATATTTATCTTCCTGAGCTATATAACACAGCCTGGTGCTTGAAATGTGAATGTACAGCTACGGCCTGTTAAACTGAGTCCTAATACTAAAAGTGTCTCAAGGAGACTCACTCCGATGTCTTGGCTGTGTCACTAATAGCCAGACTGATGGTTCAATCCTGATTTCTTCTCTTACTGTCACTCTTCTCCCTTCTTACTTGGCGTGGAGCGTAACTGTATGCATCCCCAGGGTGCAAAGTGCCAAAGTGGATTATATTAGTCACTTTTACATAATGTAGGAGTCCAAGTGTGGGACTATCTAGCCATATATGTATAACTTGTATTTTCAGTTACTGCTAACAGTCATTAATAGTGGGATATGGGCCTTTCTTATTAGCCAGTATTTATATTTATACTCTGAAAAACACTCAGCAGCACAGAATGATGCAATATCATCCCCTGGATATTTCTTCTGTCGTGTTCCCAAAATACAATCTGCGAAGCTTCAAAAATGAATAAGGCAGATTAAAACATGATCACACGGTGCAGTGAGCGTGAGGCCCACGCTGCCTGCGGCACGAGGCTGAGATCGCGCCAGGAACGGCAGATACCGCGCGCGATTGGAAAACGCTCCTCCGTTACAATGGCATCACGTCGGTTAGCGCGACGCTTTAATCAACTTAATAATTTGTTGTGGCGTCTTATTAGCAAGTTGCTACCGTAGCTCTGTTTCAGACTCCAGAAAGCACAAACTCTTGTCTGATTGTTTCTCATCCCATTACGATATTTATGGGGGAATAAGATGTGGTGTTTGTTGTGTGCAAATTAAAATATTGTGATCCACATTTGATTTTGGTAACACTTTACTTCAATCACCCATATATAATGCATTATAGATACCTTCATAATACATTGTAATGCATTCATAAAGTATTATAAACATGGCTATAACTATTCAGAAAAAAGGCATAGCACATTATAAACATGTTTATTATGCATTATGAATGGTCTATGAAACGCTCATCTATAATGCACTATGAATACCTTCTTAATGCTTTATAATGGCTTATACAGTATCTTTAATACATTATAATGACTGCTTTAAAGTAAAGTGGTAGCTTGATTTTTTTTTGCATATTTGTGCACATTAAAAATATAACTTGTGGAAAATGCTGATTTTTTCGGAAGCTTCATGACTTTGAGCACGTCCACGCAATTACATAACGTTGTACTAACATTGCCCTTCAGTGTTAGATTTACAATCTGTACCCTCAAACTTTTTTTTTTTACTTTTTATTTTTAATTCATAATTTTTTAACTGTGAAAGTCCCCGTCTGTGCTTGTTCACATACTGTACATTTTTGATTAGTATTCCTGGCAGAGCATAGTACTGTGGATATTAGGCAAAGCTTGACACAAATACTTCACAAATGATCCCTCTCTTTAACAAATTGTCAAGCACCCTTAATGTTAGTCCTGTAATTAATATTATCATCCACAAACAATAAAAAAGCTGTCAGGGTTTAATGGACCCCAGTAAGGTTAATGCAAAGTGATTTGTCTGTTTTGGAAGACAGCGATGATTGACGTCCGTTCCTCCTTTACTCTCTCTCCCTTTCTCCATCGCATTAGTTGTGTGTCTCTGAACTGAAGATGTGTAAGAAAAGCAGCTTGCTATCTGGGCATAAAGAGCAAGAGAGAGCAAGGTTAATTAGACAGTGGGGCCAAGAGGAGGGTCTTGTTAATAGATAGGAGGCAAACTGAAACAGATGGCTCAGAATGGATTAACTTCAAGGAGAGCTCCAACAATCCAATAGACTTGACAATAGTGCCGCCCAAGAGGGTGCATCGGGGGTCTGATAACACAAGCACTGTGTGTGGAAACACAAGAAAACATTTTGAGACAAAAAAAAGTTCAGTTAAAAAGTTCTAGTGTTGCTGATGGGACATCCATATGTACAAGCCCAAAGCCAGTTTGGTGAAGAACTGCAGCTTAAGTTCTAGATGGCTGTGCTGTTAGACAGCAGTATTATTATATTATTAAGGGTGGACAAATCGGTGTCAGCTCCTGGCAGCCTTACAGACGGAATTTCTCCGGAACTTTCTGTCTTTTTTCTAGACCTTCCCAAAGGCATGTTCATACTGCTGGCAATTGAGTCCATCCATCATATTGCTGGTCTTCTACCTTGCTTACCTTCAGCTGTTCCAGGCATTATGGTCTTTTCCAATCCACTGGGTCTTCTCATAATACTCTCAAAGGAAGACAGCTTCAGCGTGGTCATTTATACAATTGAAAGGTCAGGCTTGATTCGATCAGGAATCCACCCGTTTGCTTTCCTCACAGTCCACTGCATTCTTAAAAGTTCAGTTCTTAAAAGTTGATGCCCTGCTTTTTTATCGTACTGCTTTAACATCCATAAAGAATCACAGAAAATACTGTATTCTGAACAATCTTGATCCTTCTTCTTAAAGACACGTCGGCGCTATTGAAGATTTTTCTCCCGATCTTCCATCATCAGTCTGCAAGGTATTTCTTGACACGTGGATTCTTTAATGTTCTAAAAGCTGCCTATAACCTCAATGAATTCCCCACCAGTGCTAAAGTTAGCTGCCAATCCTGTGATCAGAACCTCTGTTCTCTTTACATTTAGCCCCATTACCTCAACTCCTCACCCTCTTCTTTAGCTTTCATTATAACTGTCCTTAGACCTTCCTTTTCTGCTATAAGTTTGGTGTCACTAATTGTTGATGTTTCTTCCACTAGTCTTCATCCAAGTCAACTCAGGGCACAGATTAAATAGTAACACAAGAGGCAGCTGAAGAAAGGGTTCAACAGATGCAGACATTGTGTGACTGTGAAAATGTATCGGATTTTGACAATGACCTCCAACTTACACTTTTTTCCATATTCAAAAGTTCCATTGCCATACTGTAATCAGAAAATGCTGCAGGAGGAAATTGCTTAAAAATAATAATAAAAACCTGACAGTTCAATCCAGCACATGTCCACCAAGCTATAAAGGTTTCCTGGGTCTCTGAGGCTATTTTCGGGCTCCTGCCTCTGCACCTGAATGATGCCGTAGCCTCATTGAGCATGAGCTATAGCCCCGCGCTCAGACAGGCCTCCCTCGGCCGGCCACGGAGCTGCCATCTGTCAGAACTGACACCGGATGACACCCTGGGGGGCAGCTTGACAAAAATAAAGCCAAACCCATTTTGTTGTAAGAATAGCTCCTCTGCCATTGATGAACAATCAATGCCAGGGTTCATAAGCCCTAGGTGTGAAGAGAAACCCTTCGCCTCACGGCTACCGCCGCCCCGCTGGCTATTTGTCGTCGCTGCGGAAAGGGGCGCTATATATTTCTTCTTCCTTTATCGGCAGAGCAGGAAATTATGAAGGTCCGGCCTGATGAGGGTTACCGCTGGATGCAATCGGAGTCAAGTCATGATCTATTCATGCGCGGGGTATAGAGCATGGTAACAGCAGTGTAGCAACTACATGACCACAGATAAATAAAATCAAATGTCACTAAGATCTGGCACAGATGCCTGGATAAACTAAAGGAAATACACACAAAAAAATAAAGTTCATAGATCTTCACTCTTCCATTTAGTCTGCAACTTATTTCTACTTACAGCTGAATGGAATTAGGGCAACACAGTTTCTTGAAGCATCATCACCTTTTATGGTGTGATCCTGACCTCCCCCTCCTCTCTTAGATTTTCCTCGCTAAGGGGATCGAATCCAGCTGTGACTAACAGCAGAGATATTCTCGGGCGGCAGGCAGAGGGCCTGCGAGTTCACAAGCCGGGTTAGCGAACGTCACGAGCTGCTGCAGTCTTTCTCGAAAGAGGACAACGGCAGTTGCACTGAAAATATTAACGTTCGGATAACCCAGATGATAGTCAAACAGTAAGGGTTTAATGATATAAAATGATCTCGTTATTTAGGCTGGTAGGCAGCTAATAGTATTTATCTCCCAGTATTGGTTGGTTTTGTCTCATCATGGTCAGTCTGAAACAATGTAGTGGTAGACAGCTGAACTAAGATCCTCCGTCTTTCTGTGTTGTAGCTTCTCTACAACATGTCCGTGGGATTAAGAAAAATGTCAGCCATTTCAAAACAAGACACATAAATGAACACGGGGAAAATGTCGTCTCCTCCCTTTAATTTAGATTGTGGAGATCAAAGAACAATCAAAGCTCTGCTGCTGAGGTTTTGATCTATTCCGGCTTATTGTGACTCGCACGTCGTACCCTGACCCCATGCGCTGTAACAGATTTGCCCTCCTGCCTGGCCCGAGGGAAAATCCTGAGCAGTGGTGTGTATGTTACTATGCATACGGGGGGGTAGGGGGCGGGCTTGGGGGTGGGGGGTCCTGCTGTCCTGACCCATTGAGTTCTGGGTCCCTGCCGGGAGGGACCGAGACGGCAAGCCGCAGCCCAGTGGGACATCAGCTACCCTCGGCTTACATGATTACTGACCAGCAGGGCAGAAACCATTCGCTAATCACATTACCAAATGATGTATGCCGCAGGGTGGCCGATACATGCAAAAAGAAGGATAGATAAGTTATTCACGCAACATCACAGATGCATACGCAAGAGAGGAGAAGAACAAGGAAAAGATTCAAAACAGCAGACTAACGCGCACTGTGCAAGCCTCGTGAAGTGTGTAGGTGCTGTTTATTGAGCAATTTGGGGCATTTAATAATTTTACGTCAGCTTTTTTTTTTTTCAATTTTGCATTTCTGCACTCCCATCTCTATTAATGCAAATTGACCCTATCCCCCCAATTTTCTTGTTACTCATTTGTGTTGCCGCACCAAATGGTTCACCTGGAAAAAGTAAATGCATTTCACCATCTGCATAAACAAACGATTTGCAGCGCAATAATAGAACAGTGGAGAACATGTGCAAGTTTAAATTTAAAATAGATTCTTGCCTCCACAATTATCCTCGTCGACAACTGAAATAATACACTTTCAAATCAACAGTGGGGAAGGATAAAATGTCCGAACAAGCCATGCGGCATCAGGCAGCCATGTAGGACCACGCCAAAAGGTCCTGAGATCCATCAGGCAGCTACGACTCGATGGGCCATGGTGGTCTCCATGACCCGCGTTCATTCATCTCCCTCTTTCTCATTTACTCGTCGCCACAATCTCTGCCGAGGCGAAGAGCAGTGGGATGCGACTCCCACTTAGAATGCAGCGAGATCGTCACAGTGACCAGACAAAACTGGCCAGATAATAAATGACAGCCGTGACTCGGAAGCCCAACCTGAAATGAAAGGGGGGAGGCCCTGAAGCCCTTTAAGAGCACCCGTACAGAGTAAGCAATCAATCTTTATTCGGCCGATGTGAGATCTTGAGGGGCTGAGTGCTTACGGTGGATGTACTGAGGCTTTATGTCCCCTGGGCAGAGATGAAAAAGCCTAGTGGAGCCAAACACCATGATAGGAGAAGTCAGTGATTATTTAGGCAAGGACAGCTTATCCCGTCTCTGCTACTTTTGGCTCCAGTTTTCCACTGCAGGCCCTGTACCAGAAGAACCTCGTTGACCGCCGTGTCTCACCAGTGATGTACATCAGATCCACGGCCAAGAGTTCAATCCACGACATCCAATGACTTGCAACTTGCTACTTTGAATTTTAAAAACTGCAGAATCTGTCTTCTTCTATCTGTTACTGAACTTGCTGTGCCTTAGTGCAATGGAGTGTATTGAAAACATATTACTGTTAAATTAAATCGGAAAAGGAAAATAACCCCTGCATTGGAATAGCAGTTATAGATAGGTGGACAGAGAGATGGATATAGATAATGGGAATTTTTAAATGGAAGCTATAATAATAATAATAATAATAGTAATAATAATAATAATGATAATAATAATAATAATAATAAACAGTAAGATAATTTCAAATTGATATTTCAATCTATCTGATTAAATAATAAATCAGTTTAATATTTTACATGTCCCACCAGAATAAGTTAGCTTTCTTGGTTTGCCTGTTTTCCTTACGTAGATGCAAAGTCGTTAACCTCCAACTGTAAATCCATCCGGATATTTCCAGTTAGCACCACGGTCAGCAACAAGTACGTACAGCTGCTTTGCATCATTACCGTGACTTGAAATTATCTTCAAAAAAAAAAAAGCTTCACGTTATTTCGTGGTTTACAATAACAGGCTGGTGTTATAAGACAGAAACAGCGGCATTTTATATACGAAGCGCGAGTCTTCATTTTTCTTTTATGCAAGCCGTGTAATAAGCGAAGACGCGCCGTATGTCCGCTTCCTTCAGCATCGTAACAGTACCATGCTGGCCCTTTACGCAAACGTTTGGATCGGCGACCCACCCTTCGGACCTCCCGTCCTAGTGGGCCCTGATTGGTCAAATCAAGCAGATTATGCAAATTGGGTTGTGGTTCTGGTTAGAAGCCCGTGAGTTGACGTCACGAGGCAGAGTGGCCGCTGACAGGAGAACAGGAAACATTGAAAACGACAGGAGAAATGAAAAGATATAAGCAGGTCGGCATAGTGAAATCAAAGCATTAGGGAAGAGGGGGGAAAGAGAAAGGAGAGAAAGGGAGCGAGCGAGAGTGAGAGAGCGGCCTCGCTGCCATATAAGAGAGAGAGAGAGACCAGGGAGTCCGCTTGAAGCTTGAGATACAGGAAGACAGGCAGAGGGGAGAGAGGGAGAGAGAGAGAGGGGGAGAGAGAGCAGCTGGTCCATTGAAGAAAGATGGCTACAGTCACTGCGAACGGAGTGCAGCAAGAGAATGGATTCAGCACCATGAACAGCGCCGGCAGGATGAACGGGCTCACCATCGGGCAGAACACTATTCCCATGAAAGACCATGACGCCATCAAGTTGTTTATAGGGCAGATACCAAGAAATCTGGAAGAGAAAGACCTGAAACCCTTGTTTGAGGAATTCGGGAAGATATACGAACTAACCGTACTGAAAGACAGGTTTACAGGAATGCATAAAGGTTGGTTGCCCTTATTGCGTTATTGTTTGTTTTTTTGCCCGACTTGCACACAGATTGCCCCACATTTGCTGGCAACTTTAGTAGAAAATCGTAGGAAGAGTCGTATTCTTCCGTGTTTACTGTGGGGGTTGGGACAAAATGTGGCTGCGAGGCAGCGCCATTTATTCGGAATGAAATTAAATTTTGGTCAGGAGCAAAAAAAGCAGAAGCACGTAAGTGAAAGGGGGCGGCGTAAGGCTGCGTTTTCCGCGTACCACGTGAACCAGATCCCTCAAAAAACTCAGCGTGCTTGCGCGACCTGTCCAGCTCAGCGTCCCAACTGAAGACTGGCCTCTCTGCAACTAGCGAAAGTAGCCCTCTAGCCTAATTATGTTTGCCGATTTGCAGCTGCATTTTGCGAAGAAATAAAATGCACCTTTCAGGTTGATTAAATTTAGAAGAAGTTGGTCTCATGTATTTGCACGTTAATCAGTGAGCATTGATAGTGGCACATGCAACTCGTAGGTATATCTCTAAAGAGAGCTAGTCAGGACTGTGCACATTTAATGCTAATCAGCAGACAAAAGGAAACCCCGTTATAGGCCTAATATGGAACATAATAATGGTACATGTCGTTTAAATGACACTGATTACCTGGGAGCCGGCTTTCTTGTGTAAATACAATCAACATGCAACGCATTATCTCCGTACGCAAGAGCATCTTTACTAAAAAGTGAAAATACCAAATAAATGTTCTCTCTCTAATACTAGACGTTTCTGACCATGGTGACATTTAGCAGTTACAATATAGATCGTTTTTTTTAGTACGGTTGCATATTATTCAGTTAAGACATGTTTACTTTGTTTTCAGTCGTATTCCACTGTTGTTGTTGTAAACAACTCGCGGTATACTCCCTAGAGATAGATTATTTATATACTGTAACAGAGGTCAAAAATTCAGGTGACCGCGATATCAATATATCATGTCCGAATATTTTTAGTGTTAAACATGTCGGGAGCAGCACTCTGATTTCATGAGATTGTGTGATGAGTGCGAGATTTCACATTGTTAAGGCTGTATTAGTGTTGCAAAATTAATTTATTGAGAAGAATAAACATTTTAGGACCACATGCTATAATACTACACGTGTTTTAAAAGCATTGACTGCATTTCATTGGGGGGCATATTTCCATAAAGATTATTATCAGACTAATACGACCATTTCCGCAATTATATACTTTTACGGTGGTATTAAATCTTCCCTGGTAGTTGCTTTTATTGCCGCATATTTTTCCTCCCCTGTCACTAATCGATAATTCACGAGCCCGCAATGAAAAATAAGGAACAGTTTATTCCTTATAACTTAATTGTCGGCCATATTGTATGGATTAGTCACCATTAGTTAATGGATGTACCTTTTAAAATGGTCTTTTTATTTTCATGCTAATGACTTCACGGTTGTTTCAAAAAAACGTGCGGAAAGTGGTCAGTCCACCTGTTACTCAGCAGCGAAACTGTACACCGTGTTTCTTTCAAATATAGGCCTATATAAAAAGCTAGAAAAGCAGTAATTGCAAAATGGATTCAACTCTGATGAATATACATATGCATTTTTTTAAATAAAGCTATTAGCCAGGCCCACTAGAACGTACTTCAAATGAATATATCTAAATGGCACACCAGCATCATCAGATTTAATGTGGTAAGTTATTTAAAGGTAACCATTCTTAATGCATAAAAAAGGTAGCTTAACATATTTTATTCCTTGATCTACATGTCAAGAAAGATAAGTTATTGGACTTTAAGAGAATTCAAACATTCTCTTTTGTCACCCTTTAAAATGTCCTTGTAATCAATAAGCTAGTAAAAGAAAAGAAGATATAAAGAAAGCGTACATGACATGATAAGCTTTCCTATTTATCAATTATAGCACGCAAAATCCTCCTCTCCGAGGAGCAGCCTACCACTAATCACAGATATTCAGCCCGTGGGGGCAACCCTGGGGGACTGTCGCATGGCAGAGAGTTTAAGTGGATGGTTTACATTTAATAGCTGTGGGTAATCGTGACATACCGGCAAGCTGTCGCTGCAGAGCTGCTCGGAGAGGCTCTCCCTTGAGCCGCGCCTTGGGGGTTTGCCTTCGCTTTATCGGGACCGCGCCGATTCGCAGCATACCTGCCTTATGTCACAAAGATAAAACATCGTTCTTAACGTCCTTGCCATTCTGATTTAAATGCGATCAACAATCCCAGACTGTCACCGAGGAAGTTTCCTTCCAGGTGGATATCTTATTCTGTGACTTCCGTACGATTTCTGGATTTACTGCTACGAACAGTAGCATCATATGCAATAATTTCTGAAAATCTTAAAAAATGGCATGGCTCACCCATTTAGGAGGTGGCATGGCACACCTTTAGGAAGAGTCACTTTGAGTAGTAATTTGAAATGTATATATGGATATTGAGTGAAAGTGAAATTCTATTTTATTTTCTATGTTCATTGTGGGCTCTACACAGCTCTTAAACATAGAGACATGCACACCTTAATGAAGGCACTTTTAGAAATTCATACTATACAGCATTTCTGTTTGTTATAACAGTACCTCCATTTATTTTTCAGCTAATTAGCAGGGTTACAGATGAGCCTGGAGCCTGACCCAGGCAGCACAGAGCACAAGGCTGGGGGACACCATGGATGGGATATCAGTCACACAATCATACACTATGGGCGATTTAGAGAAACGAATTAGCCTAACTTCATGTTTTTTGCACTGGGAGAGGAAACCAGTGAACCCAGAGGAAACGAATTGCACAGGCACAGAGCAGAGGTGGGATTTGAACCCCCTGCCCTACATGTGTGACACACCAGGCTGTTTAACCATAAGACTCTAAGTATTAAAAAAAAAAAACTATATGTAGACTCAGCACTGTTATCAAGGATTCTAGTGAATGGAATTTTTAATATTTAATTTCAGATGCCTGCAAGTCTAATTAAATTTAACATTGACCTTACAGAGTGGGCAGCGGCTTCCGTTCTTTGTTACTTAGCTCCTTTCCCAAGACTGCCAGTGTCTTATTTATCGCTATTATATGAGTTTTCATTTGGTATATTCCACTTCCTGGGCCTGAATGTAACTCTGAAGGACTTTTGAGCTACATAGCTCGAATCTGGCAGTAGCACGGTCTAGATGTCAGGAAACTGAAAGATCAGCCGTTCGTGAGCTTGCAGTGAAAGGCACCAGACCACACCCATCTCTCAGAGTGCTTAATGTTATTTCCATCTTGCACTGAACTAAACCACTAAGTTTAAATGCAGCGTAGAAAGGAAGCCAAAGAAAGCAGCTCTGTTCCTGATTCTTGTCTGTCCTTAAATCCATTTATCTTAGCAGTGGTTGGCATCAGAGGTTGAGTTAGCGACAAGATCATGTGATTATCTATTTTTTCCGTTTTTAAAGGAGGTAATAGAGAAGCAGCTCATTGTGTCTCAGCATGTGTATTTTAGTAATCTACAGTAAGACTGTATCGGTGCATGAAGTTAAATGGCACCAAAAATCCTTACACTACAGCAGTCTGAAAGTCATACACAACACCGAATCAGGAAAATGAATGTCCACTGTGGTGTAGTTATGGAATATGTCACAAAGAAGGAACTGCAGACAAGGTTCTAATATACCTGTTCAGAGTTCATAGGCCACATATGTTGTGAAACTCCTCAATTAGCAAAGAGCCAGCAACTTCTAACAGGTATGAAATATGAGTGTGACACCAGTGTCTAGAGGGGGAGGAGCCTTAGCCAGGGTGGATGGTGGGTTTTTCCTAAATAGGCTCTAATAGGTTGATATGGAAGATATAACAGGTGAGAAAATGTATGCACTTAATGATTTTGAATGGGTTGATATAGCTAGGCCTGAGCTTCTTGGAGGTGAAACAAGTGGATACACAAACCCGTTTAGGTTGGCAGGAACAATATGGTGGAGTAGCAGTGGTAATCAGCTGATCTGCACATGGACCTTTTCCCACACTTGACCACTCCTTGCAAACCACTCGTCGACAGCTGGGATTTCGCTGACCCCATCTCCCATGGGAACCTGGAGGATGAGAAGGGGTTACTCACTGGAAAGGGGTTAAGTTTAATGAGGTGTAGATGAGTCCTACTGGCTGGAGGAACAATATCGGACTTATGTATGATCAGATTTTCTGGTTCAAGCTCTCCGTAGATTGTAGATTATAGCCGAAAGATAAACTGACATTGATGGCCAGGCACGTAGAGAACACTCTCCACACTTGATGAAAATTGAAGTCCTCAGTCCAATAGGATGTCTTCACGTATCCCCAAAAAGCTAGACGCTTGATTAAACAGGCATTGAGAAAATTTCATAGCAGTAAGCACCCCTTGGAGAGGTATCAAGTGGAACGTGTTTGAGAACAGTGATAAGATCTGTAGCAATATGGGGCCATGTAAAGGTTCTAAAGTATCTATGGGTAATTATAATGGATCTTAGTTTGAGTACAAATTTTGATATTATTTGCAAGGGATGGTCACCTGATTTTCTGGGCAAGCAGTTTGATGTTACGGCTTATACCTGGGAACCCTGCACTGGGTAACGTGTGAACCCACTGCAATAGTTAGGGACGAATGCTGACTGGGACATAGGGTTTTTTTGGAGGAGTGTCTGGTGAGACTCAGGTCGGTATGGAGTGTATCTATGATCTCCCATCTTATGGGAATCACATCTCAGGAGGGATGTAGTCTCTGGCAAGAGAAGACTGCCTGGAGGGCATCTTATTTGGTATTTCCCATGCCTGCGGGATAAGTAGGCCTAACTGTGAAATTTAAATGGGTAGAGAAAAGGTCCTGTCTGTTCTGCTTCAGATTCTCAGATATACATTGTAGATTCTGATGGCCAATGAGTATTTGCTCAGAGTTGCTCCATGTCTCCATTCCCTGAGAGCGACCTTGATGACCAGCAGTGTTCTGTTTCTTCTAGAAGGAAGATGCAGAGGAAAATAGGTTAGGGGAGTGCCATGCCATTGAGAATTAAGTTTCAGGTATATCGTGCCATTGAGGTACACTGGCCCCCCACACCAACCTGTGAAGTGTCCATGACCACCAAAAATGGTGGATCAGGTTCTTTAAATGCAGGAATGGATGTAAATAGCTTCTTGAGTTTCTGAAATGCTGCATATGCCAAAATCATTCCATATAAGAGTTTTAGTGGTTTATGCATGAGACTCTTGAGTGATGCTGAGAAAGTACAGGTGAAGTCCACTATTCTTCTTCTCAACAAAGAAGACGTTGACAAGGTGATGCTAGTGGTCGCGTACTTCATAACCCGTGGGCCTCCTCAATGTATTAGCTTCATGTTTCAGGGCTGGACAATGGATAGACACAGGCAAGTGGACTTAAGCTTCTGGGTGGGTAGCACCGTTCCATGGATCATGTGGGAGATGTGCTGCTGCCTTCTTCTTGCAGAAAATTTGGAAGTGCTGGCACTCTGGAGGAATGATATCTGGCTGTGCTGGACTGGTGTACTGTATTGGGGTGGCATGACAGAGAATTGCTAAAGAGTCTGAGCAAGAGTAGTTTGCCACAAAAGTCGATCTTGTTGCTTCCAGGAGTTTATAGGACAATGAAAACAACGTCAGGGGTGTCAATCAGGGACAGAAGGAATAACTAGCAGTTGTGTCCCCTCGTGATGAAGTGCGGCAACCTGCATGTGGATGGAATCTGTTTGTTGAGTGACTCTGAGGTTGTCCATCCAGTGCAGTGACACATGGGGGTAGAGGTATCTCCTAGAGAGGAACACCGAACAACACAGAGGTTCTCACCACAGTACCTGAGTGTATCTTGTACACTTTGTGTAGACCAGTGCCACCTACTCATTTATCAGTAATCAAACCCCCAGCTTCAAACTCTGATGGAATCATATCTCTGGTTCTCTGAAATAAATGTGAAAATAACTGGGTACTTCTTTGCTGCATTTTTATAGCTTTTTTTCTGCCTGCACAGTATGGTAAGATGTTTGATGAGCAGCAGTTTAAGCATTTCCTGAACATACATCGCCCGTTCTCACCTTAACCTACAGAACGCGGGATCTGCATTTATGTACAGGTATATGTTAAATAAAAATGTATATCTACTTCACTTTTATGTGGCATACGTCCCCCATGACTTTAAGAATCTTTATCCAACACATATCACGATTTTCGGCGCTAACACAGAATGGCGTGTCTTTCCCCGACAAAAAAGAGGATTTTCGTAAATAAGACCCGGGCTAATTTTTTTTTTGTACACATGCCCATCTGCCATATAGCATGGCTGCACCCCGGCCACCACCGTGCAGTAAATCCTCTCTCCGTCTGTGCCCTGACTGCATGCCTTCCCTCTCTAGGATGTGCCTTTCTCACGTACTGTGCCAGAGAGTCTGCGCTGAAGGCCCAGAGTGCCCTGCACGAGCAGAAGACCCTGCCGGGGGTAAGTGTCCTAATTTCTCTCCCTGCTCTCCTGTCCTGGCTGCAGCCAAACTCCAGTGCCCCTGGGTGAAGCTCACTAATCCTAGGAGAGGAAGGGAGGGAGGCAGAGAGTTATGGGGGAAAAATAAATAAATAAGGCCCCCTGTTTGTTGGTTAATCAGCTATTTGCAGCGCGCTGAATCTCCTGGGTAATTTATTGAGCACGACGCACTGATCTCACCGTGTTGTACATTCCTAAGAGACAGCTTTCCTCTCCCGTGCCTTTGCGTGCTAACCTTCATTTCACTCACTATTTTTTTTTCCCTTTAATCGGTCACGAAAAGGTTTCGTGACTCATGGAACGAACCCCTACAGGTGCTCTTGCTGTTTCGATCTGTCCAAAACATCAAGCCAAACTCTTCGGCGCCCCCGACACCACGCGCTCCGCCGGTGACATTCGGCCCGGCTTCTGACGTGTGAGATTGTCATATCGCTGTCCTGACCTATGTGCACAGGGTTAATGACGTTGCAGTCTGTGTGAGGGGGGGCTTTAATCTTTTTTTTTTTTTTTCTTTTTTTTTTAATCAGGCAGTTTCTAGTGGATCCTTTGAAAACGGAATACCACTGCCCTGTAATGTGGCCTTGAACCTCAGCGTGACTTCAGTCAGTTAAGGCAATTACCCAGAGTGCCCTGCTGCACGCTGTCCGCCAGGTGCCTTTGAAGACAGGCCTGGTGCGGCCGTGCTCTCGGCATGTGGGCAGAGATAGCACCGTTCTGTGGGCCTCGTCTCTGTAACACCTCCCGGCGTGAAGTCGCCATCCTCAGTGCCAGTGTTCGGGGGGGGGAGGGGGGTGATGAAGTGCTTTTAGCAATTTGTTCACTTAATTCCTGGGTTTACTGGTTGCGTTGCTTCTGCGCCAAAAGCTCATTTATTGCCCGGTACACAAGTGGTCGATTTTGTCCGTTTTTTTTTTTCTTTTCCCCCAGTAAATTTTTTTCTGACATCTTGGTGCGAAAATGCTAACGCGCGTAGTGGAAGCGAACGCAGTCAGGTGTTTTAATTAGTGCTAAATTCGTTCCAGGGAAAAAATGCATAACACTCTCTGAAGAAGCTCCTTTCAGAGGCTCTCTTTCTGTTCATGTAAGTGCCCTGGCATACCATGAGGTTGGCATGGGTACCCTTCAGTACAGAATCCTCCCAGCCTAGACCTCCTGAATCTGCCATGCTCATAATTCCTTCCTGATGCCCTGTGGCCTCCAAGTGTGGTGGCCTGTAGTCCTCATCTTTGAATAAAGCCTTTCCTCTATCTGCTTTTCTCCCCCTCCCTTTTGTTAGAAGCTACCATTCATTCACCAGTCAGGCCAATTAGTTCATTGGATACAGATGTAATAAGCCTGCTAATTGGCCTTGTGCAGGCCCAAAAGCCAATTAGACTGTTGACAGAAGCCAGATCTCTCTTTCCCTGTCTGCATCGCCTTATTCTCTCTGTCGCTGCCCTTTTCCGCTGCTCTGCACATGCGCTTCCCTCGTCCTCCCGTGCGGACAGCTGCGGGGAAGTGGCTCTGGCGGCGGATCCGGGGGGTGTCCGGGCATCGGAGGGAATTCTACTCCAGCAGCCCCTGACCGCTCTATTAAGGAGACAGTAATGTTTATGCAGCAGCGTGGGACAGAAACCCCCAGGTGACAGATGGACACCAGATAGAGGAAGAAAAAAATGCTTCTCTTTAAAAGGTGCTGCTGTGCCGAATGCGCTTGCTTTGGGGGGGGTTGCACAATTGGATGGACTACGGGCCAGTGTGTGGCACCCCGGGGCTCGAGTCGTGACTGGCAGCGTTTGGGGCAGCCCCAGGCTCGCCTACGCATAGACGCATAGGGGTGCCCGCAAGACGGAGTCCTATGTGTCCTTGTGCCCACTGAAGCGCAAGCGCACGTGTGCGTGAGTGCATGCGTGCCCACGGCTAGGAAATGATCACCATTGTTCTTGTTGTATGATTGGTATTATTAATAGAAATGGTGTCATTCTCATAATTAGAGCACTGGCTGAATATTGGCAATTTTATCTGTTTCCTGCATAATAATTTGTTTTGAATTGTTTGGGGGGGGGGGTGTTCTTGGAAGACTCTGGAAAAAATGACGAATAAAAAGAAAATGAGGAATGATGCATGATACAGGAGTTTCATCGTCTGAAGCTGATGGGGGACATTCACACCCTCAGAGTCCCGGCCAGCTCCTTGAAACGCCTCAGAGAGGGATCCCAACGTAGAATTAATCTTTATTATTCATTTATTCCACAAAACCCGACAGTAGCCGTTTTAGAAATACTGAATTAAGAATAAGTTTTAATAAGAATTTTAGGAACGGAGGTCGTTTATTATCGGCTCCGTCCCCCACGACAGACCCCCACCCCTCTGTCCCATTGCAATTTACTCGCTCCTCTGCCTGTAATGAAGCAGAACTGGTAAATGTGACGAGCGGATCGTTAACACAGGGCGGGTACGGGTGGCATGGCGGAGAGGAGGCTTGTCTGCCCGCCCATCAGAGGTGAGCGGCCCGGCACCCCCCACCACCAACACTCATCGTTTCCACTCTGGCCCAGCAACTAAGAGTCCTGCCTGATTCCTGGCGTACAACGATAATCAGCCGAGATGTGCAGGCGGCCCATTTGCATCATGCGCTCGCAGGAGACAAACAGCAAGGCGATGCTGACGACTCCGGCTGGGAAGTTAGCGACAGGAGAGTGCGGCTCGTCAAAGCGCACGGCTAATCACAGGCAGACAGGTGCAAACTCTTTCCGTTCTTGGGAAAGAATGCAAGCTTCCATCTGCCTCCTAACACACGTACACACACACGCGCTCGTTCGTGCGCCAGAAGGGCCACTGTTATGTCACAGACAGTGGGCAACGAACAAGGGCTTTAAGGCAAGAAGAGGCAGAGCTGGTAATTGAGTGCGGATGTAGGGACATTATTGCACACAGATTCTCCACGGTTGTTCTGCATCGCCTGGACAGTCTGTCCTTTTACTTTGAAGGATTAAGCATGCATTGAGGCATTTGTTTAAAAAAAATATTTTAAAGCTTGTTATGTAGCTTGAGATGAGGCCTTGAGGAACAGGCATGTTTTCTCTTTGGAGCTCAGAGGGCAACAGAGTTACCTTTTCTGGTACAGTATCAGCTATCACACATATTGGGAAGGAAAAATGCAACCACCCCATTGCCCACAAAACCCAACCATCCAAGTGGCCACAAAACCCAATCATCCCATTGGCTACAAAGCTCAACCACTCCACTGGCTACAAAACACAACCACCTCATTGGCTACAAAGCTCAACCACCCCACTGGCTACAAAACTCCACCACCTCATTGGCTACAAAACTCCACCACCTCATTGGCTACAAAACTCAACCACCCCACAAAGCTTAAGCTCAGAACTCTCTGCACCCCACACAGAGATATGGAATAACCACAGGTGCATTACTTATGTCATGAACTTACCTTGTAAAACTTACCTTTGAAATAAAGTTTTCAACTTTTTTGCCCCCATGGCACCTCACACACATAAACCAAATCACACTTTCACTCTTGGCGGTGTCAATTTTGACCCCACCAGCCCAAAAACTTCCAGGACACCCCCAGTCCTGCTGTCTCAGTCCTAACAGTACCCACAGGAAATACTTCAGACTACTAGTAACTTAATTACATATAATCAATCAAGCATTTATATATTGTTTTATATCTAGGAACTGTGAGGAAGGAATTAATTCATCAAAGAATTAATTAGTTCAGTATAATTAAGTTTAACAAATGTATTAATTTTTCATGGGAAAAAGTCAGAAAATACAGAAACATCTTTGCTTTGATATTTTTATCAGTGCATACATGCATCTCTCACAAAGAATTCGGAATATATGTCCACTTATTGCAGGAATGTAATAAACAGCTTAGTTAAGAATAATTAATAAAGAGCCTGATTGAAACAGGAAATAGCCAAAGCAGGAGTCCCTCAGGACTGAGGCTGAAAAGCCCTATTACAGACTGTGCAGCCTTACCCGCCTGCAAAGGGCTGCAGGCACCTGTCAATTAGTGGTAATTAAAGGAGACATTGCTTAATACTGGTTTGGGGATTAACATCGGCACATTTCATTACTGGGACAGGAAAGAGATGCTTTCGGGTCAAATATGCATGGTAATCTTAGTGTGTCCATCCATCCTTGCATCCATCCATCCATCCAACCAACCATCTCCATTAAGCACTTATCCAGTACACCAGTGTTTCCCAATCCGGTCCTCAGGAACCCTCAGACAGTCCACATTTTTGCTCCCTACCAGGAGCTGGGAGGGAGCAAAAACATGGACCGTCTGCGGCTTCCCCAAGGACTGGTGTCTCAGGAAACACGAGACAGGAGACACTGTGAATAACACGCGTCCATCACAGCGCACATACTCACACAGGGGCAGCTTGGAGGTGCAGGTTTTTTGGCCACACAAAATGGGGAGAACATGGACACTTCATACCCCCATACAGGGGGCACGATTCTATCTTCCATCCTTGCAGGTGTGAAACCAGAGTTACTCTCCGAGCCGCCAGACCGCTAAGCCTTACTATACGAAGGACCAACAAGACTGACGCTACCTGGCATGGGTTTTGACACCCCTGGCGCCTGTTTTCGGCCAGGAGGCCGTGGCTCCGATTGCAGTAGATGAGGTGTGATGGGAAGATGTCCGTACAGGCAGCAGCAGGGACGCCTATACTCTGTGGCGGCCCACGGTGCCCCTTGGCTCCGATCAAACGAGATATAAATGCGTATTTTCCCTGCGGCCAGTGCAGACGGTCGGACTGCGAGCGGGATGGTGTCCTTGGAGGAGAAGGATGGTCTGGGGCCTGGCGTGTAAACGGTGTTGTTAAAGGTGCCAGTCGGGACGACACAGGATTCAGAGCCTCGGAAACCTCGTAAAGTGACACTGTGAGGTGGAGAGAAGCACTCCGCCGGCTTTATGGGGGCCGACATCCATGCCGAGTCAT